TATCTAGGGATTTAAAAATACAATAATGTTGTTGTAGTGTCTGCAGGTACTCAATTTTTTAATCCCTATTTGGAAGATGTTAGCTGTACTTGCTAACTAAAAAGGTGAATGGTTCCAAAATCCGAATGTTTCTGGAACCAAATATCCCTAACATAAGATCTTAGTTTGCATATCTTATTTATTAGAAAGTTATTGATCTATATCACAAAATAAAACTCTTGGTCTTTGTTTAAAACGTACATGGAAGTGAATGTTAGCATCAAAGCTAGACTTTTGCTTAAGTTCTTGTAATGATAAAAGTAATCACATGAATTTAAATGATATTTTTAAAAATTTATATACTATATGTTATACAGCGTTTTTCAATTTCTTTTTTTTTACAATTTTATATAATTGATAAGAAACTCAAATATTATACTAATGAATAAGTTTTAAAGAACCGCAATGCTTAGTAACTGTTTGTCTTATGAAGGCAAAAATGATTAAAATTAACGCAATAATTTGTGAAATTTCTTAGCTGATAATTTTATTTGAAATAATTAAGATGATGTCTCATTCAAAAGCAATGAATCATCTGGGAAGTATTAATTTCCGTTAACTAGCAAACAAATAATTTATTAATAGAAATACGAAATCATCTTAGTTAACAGATATTTTAATATTATCACATATTAATGCTATTGAACTTGTTGTATCTAGGTCCAGTCAACATTATTAACTTTTGTTTAGAAAAGTAATGAGCCATCATTTTGATCTATTATATCAAGAGTAAAAAAAACTTCAACATATTGTGATGCAAATTCAATGTATTTATTTTGTACATAGTTTTTGCATTTGCACTATTGCTTCTTGTTTTCTTGTAAACCTAAAAACATTACTCAATGAAAGTAAAAGAATAAAATAAAAAATACCAATTTTTATTATTGTATTTCTAGAAAATTTATTTAATTAAAATTTAAATAAAATTTAAATTTATTTATTTATCATCAGGCTTGAACATTTTTGTAGCTAATATATTTATTATTATAATATCAAAAAAATGGCCTAAACGTAAACACTTACTAATATCAACTAGAACCCCATAATACTGCTAAAAGGAGTATTAAAATCGTACACTGACATCTGTAGATTCTGAAAAATGCAGACTGAAGTTTTCACTGGTGTTACCCACTCACGACTTACAGTAAACGAATCCAGTGCATTTATCCAAGTTTCATTCAACTAAGGGATATCGGCAGATATACCAAAAGCTTTAATTTGTAAAAAGCTTACGAAGCTTTCTTCAAAAATAGCAAAATAGGTCAGGATATAATATTGTTTCTTTTAATAATAATACATGTTCCGGATGTGCTTTAGGTAACTGATAGCTAAGTATGTATTCGTATTTCATTTTTTAAAAACCTATAAACATAGGCTAAATTTGCTCATCATAATAAGGCATAGTTGCAAAAAACCTCCATATTAAAATTATTGTTTCTAGTGAAATCATATGTAAAATTATAGTTAATTTACTACAAACACTATCTAAATACAAGGGGGCGCACAATAGATCAAACTGGTCGCGGTGCATAGGGCCTTAGCCTAATTCGAAAACCCCCAAATACCATTACCATTACTACAGAAATACTAACAAAACATATCTTCTGGCTGATAGTTATCTAAAATAGTCAATCTTCTTTTGCTATGCGCTGGATTGGAATACAGTAAATGGTCGTAAAAAGTTAAAGGTAAAAAAATGCTCATAAAGTTTACAATAAAAAATAAAATTTTGTACATATATTTTATTTGTAAAAAAAGCCGTATTGAAATTTTTTTTATTACTTTTGTTAGGATATGTAATTAAAAGATATAAATAAATAGTGCAAATAATTTAAAAAACAATATAACAACAATTATAACATCCGCTTCTAAGAAATGTTATACATAACTTCATAGAATGTACTAGAAATTTCGAGAAATGTGGAATGAAGTTAATACTATAAAAACTCTCTTGTGCGAACACATCGTCAATCTATACATATATTTTTTTCCGTTCAAAGAAGTTTCCAGTAAAAGTTAAGTTATTTCAAATAGTAATAGTAAAAATTTGGTTCTAAAATTATTGTTCAACAAAAAGATATATCTGTTAGAATAAATTTTACTTTAGGCAATTGTAATTTATTTGTGAAATAGGATCAGAATATATTTACATATATAAATAGAGAAAAGAATATATATTCTGAACGTGTTTTTGTGGACTGTCATATTTTTATTAAACCAAAAGTAACAATAATTTGATTCCTGTTAAGTAGGAATTTGTATATTTAAATAAAACTGTATTAAAAAAATGGATATATATACTTTATTTCATATTTGAAGGTATATTACGTGGAAAGAAGAACTCAAAAGTTTTGGTGAAAGACACAAAGGCAAATTAAAAAACGATCCCAAAATTTTGGAAGTATAATTACTAAGGGTCCCTTTTAAAAACCAAAACCAGTAAATGAGGAAAAAGATATATAAATTATCAAATTAGCTTTTAAGTTTGGAATACAAGTTCATGGAGTCAGCAAATAATGTACTATTCATTCAAGTGGCCACAAAGTAGTAATTTTATTGTATTTCTAGTAAATAAGTAAATTTAATTTAATTATTGTCTTTTGAATAGACGTAAATTTGAATTGAACAAAATAAAAAATTATTGCATGATTCATCCAATGGGTTTCAAAAAAAAAACTAGCATTCTAAACCCTAAGTTTGTAGTGCGATTTTTTATATTATATATTAAATTAGTATAAGTATAAATTGCTGTATGATCAGCTAAAAATTCAATTAATTAAAATAATAACAAATGTTTAAAAAAAATTATAAAAGAATTTTTGTTGTTGTAGTTCACTAACTTTCGAAACCTCTTTATAAAATATAAGTAAATGTTAACTTTGGATTAAGTCCGTAACAATTAACCCGTATCCGCCCGAAGATTTTTTTTTTGGAATTTTTGATCAAAATGTTTTTTTTTTATGCTTAATTAGTAAGGAGGTGGGGGAGTGAAGTCACAAATATTTTTGTAAAGTTAAAGCTTCATACATTTAAAATAATGATATATATAAACTCTAAAGTTTTTCTAATATAAACAAAAAATCCATGAAAAGTGATAAGATTTGCTGTTTGATTAATCGAACGTTGGGCGGATATGGGTTAAAATGTTGTAATCCTGTTGAGAGATTCTAACAAAAAATCCGAAAAATCAATTATTCATAATAAGAAAACTGTATTGATATGTTGACACTAAGAACACTGGCGAACAAACAAGGCACAGGAATCCTGTAAGAACTGGTAGCTATTTCAAGCCAAGTGATATACTTACTATATAATAGTTCGTGAAAAATCAAAATATTTATGTCAAAGAATTACATTAAAAAAATATTAATTATAATTTAAGTAGACACAGACATTTCTAAGAGGACACAACTGTTTAATACTATGTTTACACTAAGAATTATCGAACCCCTTTAGCATATTTTTATATGAATTTTGCATGAAAAATAGTATATATCGTTGCATATTTATCGAGTTAAGTACTACAGTTTAAATATAACCAAATTTAATAATTTCATCATAATTTACGAAACTACTTAGTAGCTCAGTCATTACAATGTTATAGCAAATCATTGCTACCAAGGATACAAATAATTCGCACTCATCCCGAGGTTTTTCAAGGTACTGGAAATTTTCAAGAAAGATGTACATTTTTATAATAAAAATAAATTCATACTAAAGTATATTTCTACGTTCTCTAAATTTTAAATTATAATATATTATATATAGTTGTATATGGATATATGTATAAATATATGTATGTTAAGTAGATATAAAATGCGTCATGCAAGCGTATAGAATTTGTGTACAGTACACAATTGAAATTTCCCATTTATTTGCCACAAAAAGACTCCCCCCTGTCCGTGCACTGAAAATGAATTGTATGTCCGTCAATCTCTACAAAGAAATGCTGAAACTGGCAGTATTTTATTTTTTTGATAAATTTCTTTAAAAAATTGCAAGAAAACAAAAAACCTACTTAATATAAATTAACAAATTAAAATAAAAAGTTTCACTAAAAAAAACCAACAAAAAATCTAGAAATGCCACATTGGCGGCATGTTGCGCTCATTTCTTTCTGTGTACAGCATGTGGATTTTACTGTGAGTTTTTAACCAGAAACGAAAATGTTTAACTATGTAAAGTTTTTATATAAGAATATATAATATAAGTAAATAAATCTATAATAAAAAAAAAAACAATATTTTATAATTTGTTTAGCAGTTTTTTTTTAATTTTTAATAACTTCAAAAAAAAGTTGCATAATAACAGAAGGAAAGGAGAACGAAAGAAGGCCCACAATATGTAGAACTTATAAGGCAAAATATAATTGAAATATATCAAATTTATTGCGAAATTATTTTATTTCCAATAAATGATGACCTTTAACTAAGCATTTACCTACAGACAACACCTTTTTACCCGCCCGCCCCTTGTAAAGCTGATGATGATTACACTTATAGACAAAATTTAAGCTCAACACTTTCATCTTATTGATTTTTTCCATGCAATAACAAAACAACAGAATTTCAAATATTATAGAAGAAGAAAAAAGTTTAAAATGCAATAAACAAACTTTTCAGCAATCGCACAATGCAATAATTAAAAACAAAAAAAAACATTAAATAAAAAAAACAGCTTTATTATGTGTCAGGTAAACACGCGGCAAATGTCACAGGCTATAAGAGTCTTCTTAAAAGGATAACATATACGCCTGACGTCTTGTCACACTCATTCTCTTGCACTCAAACTCCACTTTCACTCAAAATTTACACAATTTTTCACAAATTTTCCAATATATAGAAATTTATAAAAGCGAATATTTCATTTGAATAAGTTTTGAAATAATTTTTTAACAACATTTTACACTTTGACACATATTATATTTTACTTATTGTAAACAATTATGTTAAATTACTCACTTGAATAGCAAAAATTTTAATAATAAATTTTCCACTGCGACAAATGAAAAACTGCTAACAGCAAGAGACGAACAACGGCGGCCGACTGACTGAGCATAACATTTGCGATTTGTTCTTAAATTTTGCGCCGTTTACATTTCGTACATTGAAACTGCATGTGTGTTCGAGAATGTGTGCGTGCATGTAAGTTCGCTGTTGTTTTGGAAAAAAATACAAAATACAAAATAAAAAACAGTGTCCACTACTGCTCTTTTTTAAATTTTGATTTGTGTTTTTCAAATACGTATGTTAATTGTACAATAATTAAATAAATTCATATATGTATCATATATTCGTATAACATTAATGATATAAACATTATAACATAATAATAACATTTATTTTACTCTCTATGTAACGAACATTTTTTGAATCCTCATTATTGCAACTCTTCATAATTGTCCTTGAATTTCTGTGTATTGTGTGTTATGTTTATACAAAAAAACTACTTTGTTGATATCCTTTTACAGTGGTACTAATCAGTATTTATAAAAGTTTAAATGACACATTAAGTCTATGAACATTTTAATTAATACAATATTAATAATTAAATACATATATAACGTTAATAATAATAATATTAAGGACGTGTGCGAGTTAGGCTAAGTTGATGCTAAACCAAATGGGAGATTTTTTGGGATTTTTTGCACTGCACACATTTTGCCATTTATCAACACGATCGCCACATCAATACATTATCGACACAACTTAGAATTTCCCTCATTTAGAACGCAACTTAGCCTAACTCGCACACGACCTAACACTGTTATGGTTAATAAACCAGAACAATAAAACATGATACCTAGCCGTGTGCGAGTTCGAGTAAATTGAGGTAAAATAAATTGTAATTTTCAAGCGATTTTTTGCACTGCATTTATGCAAATATTTATTTATTTATTTATTGCACTTATTAATTTTTTTTTGTGGTTAAAAGTTTTTAAATTTATTTATTCAAGAATAATGCTCGACATGGAAACGAAATTGGATTAAGCTTTGGGTAAGGACAATTAATTATCTATTTTCCCTTCTAATACAGCAATTAGCAGTGATAAATTATTGTTAGTTTTAAATTGATTTTTGGAAGATTCAATAAGAAGAATATAAAATTCAAAAAAAAAAAATTTATTTATTTGTTAATCAATTTTCACAATGGTAACATCTAATTTATCTAATTTTGATCTAAGTTACTCTACTCGAAATTATGGTAAATACCAACTTTCGCTATCATACCGACATAATTAACTATTTGCCTCAATTTACCATCAATTTACTCGAACTCGCACTCCCCTATCAAAAGTTATTATATAAATGGATTTAAGATTGTTTTTTACAAATCAAACATAGCAATTTAACGACAGATTTTGGTAACCAATAGCTTTTTCCACTATATACTGATTTAGCTTTGTTCTTGAGATATCGAACTTTAAAGTTATAAACTTGTAACATTGATTACACAAAATAAGATTAATATTGATTCACACGAGAGTTTTATTTGTATTTTCAACTGTCAATTTTTGTTACTTTCAACTCAAATTGAAAATTTTTAATAGCTAAAATTACAATCAAAATTCAGTATAACACTAACTAAGTGCTAAATAGATAACACTTCCGTTATAAAGTTACTGTTATATTCTTAAATATAAAGTTTAACATTTGAAAAGATTTTTTTAAAATTGTACTTAATTGAAACAAAAAATTTTTATTCTCCATTTATTTGAGTTTTTATTAAATATGTATCTCCGTTTTCGTTACAACGAAAAGATAACCAGTCAAAAAAGTAAGTAGAGTATGAGCTACTAGAGCAAAACACAGCGACTACTGCTGATATTTTGTCTTGCCTACTGATCCTAACTGAGCAGAAGAAACTCGGTCTGTCGAATAGAAGTCAAAATTTCAGATATTAAGAACATTCTCACTCCACACGAGAATAAGAATCTTGATGAAAAGGAATCTAGCTACATATAAATTCTAGTACTTTACCATCTATACACTTTTGCATGCATTCAAATCATTTGTCATACTATTTTTCTGTTTCACTTAAAGCACCTCCAGACCATAGTTTTCAAATGCCTACTACTGGTGACAACTATGGTTTTCAGATATGTTAAACAAGTCATAATATGTTTAAAATAACAATCAAAGTATTTCTTAAGCATTTCTTTATTAAATCGGACATCATTTTGAACATTTCGGACGCCCGCTTTAAAAGAGGCACAACTCGAAATTCGTCATGATTATCTTATACGAAAAAAGAGAAAAAATTATAAGAAGACTGTCAAAATTCACACGAATCTATTTTATAACAGATAAACATCCTTCATTAACTGTTACACCGGTGATGGAAAGGTTGTTTAATTTTTATTTTTATTCAAGTTAGCTTACGAAAATAACGAATCCGAGATATGAATCCAGTAGCATACGTTCGGCAAAGAGACGCTCTAAGCTGTAAGACACCTGGCATCATATTGAGCAGTGCATACTAGCCAGCGTGCACATACGTTTTTTTAACCGCAAATGTGCACCGTGCCTAAAGCTATCGTCCAGCTGCAAATTACAATTAAACTACAAACTTATAAGTTGATAGAGGGACAACTCTTCCATATCCGCATAATAGAAGTAAAATAAAATACCTTACACTGATAACACTAGCTAGGCTTTGTTTTGATTTCAGCCTTTATCATTTACAAACTTCTCTTAGGAATTGTAGTAGTGTTGAAGATCTATTTCTGCAACAGAGAAAGTAACATTTGAACTTAGACCGTGTGTTTTTCTCTAATACATACGCATCGAGTTAACTAAATTAGTTCATCCGTTCTAACTTCAGACAGTCATATGACGAATAGTCACTGCAATTTAACGCTCTTTTTGGTCATTACCAAAAGACATGTTATATAGAGAGTCATAACACAATTGTCAATTTTCAACTTTTATTACCATTTTGATGTTTTTATGCCAAAATTTAAAAGTTATTTTTTTTTTGTGAGGATGCTGGATATATCCCTACAAAAATATGCATATTTACTCCTAATATTATATAATAATAAAGAAACACTGCTTTGACTAACGTGGTGAGACACATTAAGTTTCGTCACCGTGACCGAAATTTCTCTCTTTCTCTCATTCATAAGTTTTTAATATACAATTGAAACAACAACAGTTTCAAATTTGACATGACCATACTCTCTGTTTACATGGCTCTTATGAAAAACAATGCTTTCGATTATTTGTGCTGATATGAGCACTTTTCACTTTTTCAGGCTATGACGAATATATGTATATTATGCAGAGTGTCGCATCAGTTTGTCAATTTCGTATTTTTATTTTTACTTTTATACTTCTTGGTTGTGTCTAAATTTTAAAGGATATATATACATACCTACAATAAACTCAGATTTGATTCAGTGATAAGGCACAGATAACATCGGCTCTCATGACAGAATTTTTTTTTTTCTCACTTTAAGTTTTAAATTTACATTGAAAGCAATAACAATTTTGATTTTAGCGTGCCCATGACACTCTACACAATATGGTCTGACGTCTACTACACTAATTCAGCTTTAATGGAAACCAAATTAAACAGCTGATTGTCATTAAGAACAACATAACTAGTAATTTGCTAAAATACTCATGTTAAACTTAATAAAATACAACATTTCTTTTGTTTCTAAATTTTTTTTTCTATTTCAAAAAATAGAAAATTTTATATTTATTTTATTTTTGTTTGAATTTTACTCTTAAAAGTGATTCAGTGTCTTATGTTTTGTTTGTGTTTTTCAGCAGTTGCAAGCATGATTACCATACAGGAATGTTCAAGGTAGCACTTTGGTAATATAAGACAATCACAATTTTTTCTGTTTATAAGTATTAATATATAGCTGTTTTGTATGATTTTACAGATAAACTGTGATTTCATTCGATATATGTATTTGTGAATAATATAAATGTCTACTAACTCGAATAAAAAATGTTAGATTACTCTAAAAATGCTCGATTGGACAAAAAAATTTGACAAATCAGGAGTAAATCTAGATTGATTCCAAATATACCAATCGAAAACGCCATTAATTTGTGTTAATACATTCATACAATTATAAGCAAAGTGTTAAAATTTATATTTATATGGGTTTTGTGTATTGATTTAATTGAGTAAATTTAATTTGTTTCAGTTCATTCATATCAGTATTAAAAAGATATTATAATTTATAATTTAATAAAAAATTTAAATGGATAAACTAAATTTATTTATTATAGAACATATTTTTAGTTCATCAGAAGAACTTGTCAAATTTTGTAAATTTAAATTTCAATATGTAACAAAATTTTTTTCAGTGTTTTCAATGATTTTAAGTTAGTCCTACCAAATCAACTAAATTATTCAGTAAGCAGCTGAGCGTATTGTATCACGAACTGCGTATAAAATAAAACAAGAAAAAACAAAGTCATCGTTAAAATAAATCAAAATATTAGAAAGAAAAATGGTATATAATTTTATTAATATGCAATAGAAAATTAATTTAATTTATAAAATTTTTAGTTTCAGTTTAGTGGTTTTAATATGGTGTTTCCTGAGGGTGGGAGACATTTCAAAGTAAATTACAAATGTTACTCTGTGTCGATGTTACCGGGAAATGAACGACAAGATGTAGAGAAGGGAGGAAAAAGTATAGAAACAAATTAAGTAACATAAAACTACATTAAATATGCATTTTATTTTAGTTATTATGCCACCATCAGCTTTAGAAATGCTAACTCGTTTTAATGCAGAATATCCAATGCTATTCAAGTTGACTAATGCCAAGAAAGCACGCGAGTCACATGCAGGCGTACTTGAATTTGTAGCGGATGAAGGAAAATGCTATATACCTTACTGGATGATGGATAATTTAATATTAGAAGAAGGAGACACTTTAACAGTAGAGAATGTTTCGTTGCCGGTAGCGACTTTTTCAAAATTTCAACCACACAGTACTGATTTTCTAGACATAACTAATCCAAAAGCTGTACTTGAGAATGCTTTGCGTAATTTTGCTTGTTTAACAGCTGGAGATGTAATTGCTATTAAATATAATAAAAAGATATATGAACTTTGCGTATTGGAGACTCGTCCTGGCAATGCGGTCACTATAATTGAGTGTGATATGAATGTAAGTATATATAGTAATACTGTACTGTATATATAGTACTACAAACTCTGTACTAAAAATATTATCTGCAATAAATAAATATGTAGGTTGAGTTTGAAGCTCCTGTTGGATATAAGGAGCCGAGTAAACCAAGAGATGAGCAACCCCAGGAGGTAACTCAAGATAATGTAATGGAAGAAGTTGTAGAAACCTTTCAAGGTTCTGGTGTACGCTTAGATGGAAAACAAAAGAAAGAGAGTCAGTTAAATAATCCAGTCATCAGGAAGGTACTGTTAACAAGTTGAGCAAAAACATAATCTTAATATTACATATTGTCCAATATTGTAGATATTGCCACGCGGGGTTCCAGATTATGACTTCAAATTTGGATCTTTAAAATTTGATCGTTCAGTAAAACCCATAAGTGAAAGGGTTGCCAAAAGTGAGGAAGAAGACATGGAATCAAATAGTTTTCAAGGAGAAGGATTTAGCATGAAAAAATCTCGAAAATAATTCTAAATCTATAAAATACTTTAAAAAATAATTATATATTTGTCTATAAATTATTTATTAAACCATTTTTAAAATAATTTTAACGATTTATCATTTTTAAAGTTGAAGTGTTAATTTAATAGTTTGTTCAGGATTTTTCGGTGGTGGGGGAGCCTTTGACATAGGCGGCAGCGGTCGTATTTTACGACCATGTTTACCAGTTTTACGTTGCCATAGACCTGATCGAGGACGATAACCCAACTGGCGGAGACGTTGCGGGCTGCCAATGTGCTCTTTATTAAATTCAACATTTGACACCCGCCCTAAAAAATAATAATAGACATTTGAATATCTACGTTTTCAGTTATTTAGTTCTGAGAACTCACCAACAGTGGCCATGCACGTTCTGTCAAATGCAAACTCTCGTTTGGAAGGCAACTGAACCACAACTTTATCTTCAAATTTGCGCAAAATAGTGCCATATGTGCCTGCAGCCAATATCCAATGCATAGGATGCCCTGGATTCTTTTCTAAACAATGTATGCGTGTGCCCAATGGCAGAGCACCAAGTGGATAAGCATCTCCTTCATTTGGTCGCACTAAAAAACAACACAATTATTGTTATAATAAATGTTATATAATATGCTTTTTAACCTGGGATTCTTGGTATAAAACGTGATGTTTTTATTATATCACCAGCTTTCATATTTTCAGTTGCAATTATATACTTCAATTCGTCTCCAACTCCAACTAGTGCCAATTTTGCAGTACGGCAACCATCATCAATAATTTCCACAACACGTTCAGATCGCGGTGGACCTTCTGTGGGGCCGTCACGCACCCATTTTACCCAATGATAGTTATGCTTCTCACCGCCTCCTATACCTTTAGCTACAACTCGCCCTGATACAGGATCTCTACCAGCTAAATGCGTTATTTTTAAAGGTTCTACGGTGTATTCATCTTTATAATGCACAATACGTCGGTATTGTACACTATTACCAGGCTTCGGCTTTACAACTTCTTTGCATTTATATCGAAGCTGAATCGCTGCTACACTTGGCTTTAATGTTTGAAGTTGATTATTAATAACACATTTGCTTAATAAACGTGTTAAATTATTCATATTTCTAATTTAATAAATTTTTTATTTTATTTGGTGCCTAAAACTAAAAGCAGATGTTAGCGGAGAAGAAGTAAAAGAAAATGTCAAAATCATATTGTTTACATTGTATTCATGGAAAGTATGTTTATTGATTCGGTGCGGCAAATAAATTAAATTTAAAAGTAAGAATTTTAATTTTATTAAAATAGCCCATTTTTAAATTGAAGGGACATGAAGCATTAAATTAAAAAAAAAACACGAGCTTAATTAAAGTTTTGTCAATTACTTGCAAAAGCATTATAAAATTTGACAAAAATGTTAAAATTGTAGATTAAATAAAAAGTAGATTTATGTATTAAAATTATTTATTTCAACTTTTTATTTCATTCATTAATTTTATGAAAAATTCTTTAACTTCAGTATTTTGCATCAAAGCTCGCTTCTTAACACTTAGCACCATGTTAAGCACATCAGGATATTTATCCTTGTCACGTCCCGTTGTTTTTGAATCTGCATCATTTATTTCATCGTCATCATAAATTCCTCCAGCGCCAACATTTGCAGTCTCTTCACTTACGATTGCGCTATTTTTGCTTTTATGCCGCTTATTTTTTCTTCCCTCTTCATCTGTTGATGTTTTTGTGTTTACTTTTTCTGATCGTTTTTGATATGGTCGTTTTGTTTTTGGTTCCTTTTGTTTTTCATTTTGCTTATTAGTGTTGGTGTCTAAACCAATTTCTTCTGTGTTTGCATTTAAACGTCTTTTAACATGTAAATGCAATCGTTCCTTAATGTTATTTTGTGGTGATTTCTCTGGTGACGAAGGGTGTTCAATTTTAATTTTTTGTAAATTTTCTGGTATCTCCATTATGCGTTAACAGAATATTATGTGTGTACATATGTATTATGAAAAAATGCTGCCAACTCATTTATTATATTTTTTCAGTAAAACTAAAAAAAGGGTAGAAGGAAATAAAAAAATAAATTTTACAAATGAATACATTATACATATGTGACTGCTGGTTCAGTATGATATATGCATTTACTCCAATTATAATTAATTATGAAATTTTTTATGTTTAATATAATTATTATTATTAAATTAACTTTATATAATTAATATAGTATATCTTTATACAAATTTTTTTTTTGTAAATATATATATATATATATGTATGTATGCAATATTTGTATTATTAATCAGTTTAAAATTTGTTTACATTGTACATTTATAATAAATTTTTATTAACAAAATTACCTTTGCCTTTATTATTAAGTATAAGAGAAAAAGAGACGAAATAGTATGATTAATATCGACATTTCGTTTATATAAATGTTTTTGAAAACATTTAATTATTTTATACTATTACTACAAATATAGTTTATTTTTAGCACCAATATTATATAGTATGTACTACTAATAAAGCTAATTAGTCATAAATTAGTCAAAAAACATCATTTATAGTTTCGATTATCCAAATTTCGTTTATCGCCAGTAACTCCTTTAAGATGATTACGGACAACAGACAAAATGTCAAACGAAAATTACAATTAAAATTACGATTAGTCTGTGTGAATACACTTCAAAGAAAAGTCAGAAATGGCTACGCATCATCTCAAAACGTTGATCGAAACTATTCTAGCACCAATATGAAAATAAATAACCTTTTTAATATTAAAAAGTCTTCTATTATACTTATTAAAATCAATGGAACTGTTAAATAATTTAACAGTTATGATTTTTTTTTAATATTTTAGCGCATTAAGACGTTTTCACTGCACACCATAATTTTGTTTACCCTATAAAAATCTTCCGTGCTTTTTAACTTAAATAAAAATAAAATAAGGAAAATCAGACAAAAAATGCCGCATGTAATTCTTAAAAATAAATTTCCCTCAAGTGAAAGTTACCAAAATTTTAATATGTGTAAACAAACAATAGCTGAGCGGACACATAGAGGAAATAAGTATTTAATAAAATCTCTGTTTTTATTAATTGAATATGTGATGGATATATAATATACATATATATAAATAATTTCATATATCAATTAAATATTTCAGTTTTTGCTCTCAGTCAGAAACTCTTAGAACTTTTAAACAACTTTTTGACATATAAAAGCTCCTTCACATGCAATAAGTAACTTTTGTCAATGGAACCGATTAATGTTAAGTATTAATGTTAAGTTCAATAAATTTATATTTATTTATATATTGATTATTTACTGTCACTGGTCTTTAATTCATTGTGCCTACAAAATATCTAAAAATAAAGGTGTTTTGGACATTTGTGTACACTATCTCTAGTGTAGGTAATATTTTTTAATAAAAACAGCTGTGTCTTTATTTGTTTACGATACAATAAATTAATGACAACATATAATAACATAAGTTCAAGTACGTTATAGATTGTATCAAATATATTAAAGCATAAAATACTGGTATATTTGTAAGAAACTATAATTAAAAGAATAGTACCTTTATAGTAGAGATGTCACCATATATTTAATACATATACATATTAAACTGGAATCATAATATTTTAATGAGGAAACAATAACATTTTAAAATGTTGTTTATTATTTATATGTATATCATGTTTTACCAGAGTTAGAAAGTATTTAATGATTGTTAAGCACAATCATCCATAAATAGAATTTATTTAGAAGTTTCCTGTTTTGAAATAATATATTGTCACAACCATGCGTTTAAGTACACATAAAAAAGAATAGAAAATATGATTGCGAATCACATTGAATATTTCCAAAGAAGAATATATCGTCGATTCTAAGGATTCATTTGGGCATATTGACCCATTGTGTAACCGTATAAGAATTCAAAGGTTTCAAATTAGCAAAGCACTTTTCAGAGTTATAGTACATTCACACTGTCTCATTTAGGCACTTGCTCAACGTTCACATAATAATGAGCTCAGATGTTAGATGCAGATGTTAGATCTTATATAAACTTTAATAAACTTCACTTAATATACAAAAAAATGATATACATAATTGATATATTAATTCATTTATATACATTTTATATATCAAATATATATTTAATTAATAAAAACAAACATTTTATTAAATATTTGCGTTTGTTTCTTGACTCTTCGTAAAATAGAAATAAAAAATATTTTATTTCGTGTAGAAATAAAATATTGATTTCTATACCAAAATATTTAAAAAGCCAATTAGAAAAATGCTAATTTACATATAAGCACAATTCAAACAATAGAGTGGAAGAAAAGTAATGCTAGTAACAGCTGTTTTATGTCAATGCTACCAATACGAAAACACATAAGAAACATATGATGAAGTAATTGGAAAACTTTACGCATTCAGCGCATTCCAATAAAAATAAAGGGTTAACTCATACGCTGGAAAAATTTTTAGCGCTAAAGCTTCCCCCAATATAAGCATATGAAGGAAATTTGTAATATGATTGAAAAATATGAAGAGTTGCTTAAAAAAAGTGTGTTTAGTAATATAAAAATCATGTATTTAACTTTTGTTTAATAGAAAATATATTAAATTGTTGTTTACTTAAGACTTAATACAAATAAAATTTTTTATGTTATAATTATTTTAAGTTTTATTTTATAATTTAGTAAGATACTATAAAAATTAATTTTCTTTTTTATATTATGTTATTTTAACATAAATAACTTATTATAATTTATTGTATTATATACATACAAGTTACTGGGAGTATGTAAAATGTATGTTGACTTGCATTTTTAGTATTTTTTTTTAGCGATATGACATTATTTATAAATTCAAAATATATAAAAATCTAATATAAAAGAAAAAGAAAATATTTATTTATTTGATCCTATTTGAAATTAATATATGTATGTAGATGTATAGATCGTTTAATCTTTTTCAACCACTTGGTTTCCAATTATTGGAAAATTCTCCAATTTTTGTTTTTTATTTACATTTCACAATATTTTCTATTTGTTGTTCTCTTTTGCAGTGTGACATTTGCGTGTGTATTCAGCAATACATACTCGCCAAATCAGCTCATTGCCTGACACATACTAACACACACATAGGTCACATTCAGCTCAAATTTCTGTATAATAAAGTGGCAAAAATAAAAACAAAGCTGCTTTTTTGCGTACAATAGTGCCAGGTGTGAAGTAGCAATAACAAGAAGTCCGCATTAGAGAAAAACTTATATTTTTAAAAGTTTTTGGTGTAATATTATTAACGTTAAATTAATAAAAATATTATATATATTATAATAAAAGTTTAAGCTTGTTTATATTATTTTTCGGCTAATGGGAAAAGTTGGAAGAATAAATAGAAAAAATTAAAAGAAAATAATATACACATACATACGAATCGAGTAGAACGAATAAGAACGAAGAAAAACAAAAAACGTGGTGGTGTGCTGAATTTTTACAAAACTATTTTTCTAATTTTTTGATTTAAAAATTCGCGTATTTTGTTTGTAAACATAGTGAAAAAAATGCAGTAAATTATATTTTTTATATTTATTTAATGGTAAGTTTACGCAATCAATTCGTGGAAGTAGTACATTTGATGCGGCTTTTTCACTTGCATATTATCTCAAAATAAAAAAATTTTTGGTTCAGTGCTTTGGATTTTTTATATGTTCAAAAGTTTTTCTATCGCATAGTTTTGCTCACGCACCATCACGGCGACAACATAAGCGGTTAGTTGATCGATTAAGCGGCGGTGGAGGGAGCATATAAAATCAAACGAGAAAAAAAAAAACAATAAAAATAAATAAGTTTGGAAAATATTGAAAAAATAAAACACTAGTATAATCCAAAACACGCGATAAATAAGTAAAAATTCATAAAGTAAACAAATAACATAAATACGTAAGGAAATATTACATGCAAGAAGTATTGTAAAAGATAGAGGAACACACAAATTTAAAAATAGTGGATACAAAAAAAAAGTGCCGCTTTTACAAATGGAATTCTACCCCCACCACCAACAGCAGCAACAACAACAACAACAACAACAAAGTCAGCAGCAACAATTAACGCAGCAAGTGGATTCCATGGCCACCGGCTCATCAACCACCGCAACTAATAATAGCAGCAGCAGCAATAATAACGCTAACGGCAACAATAGCAATAATATTAATAATAATCATATAAGTAGTAGCACCCCACCCACCTCAAATACAGCAGTAACTGCTGACGCGGCCACTGTAGCAATCGCTAAGGATATGCTACAGTTGCATCATGGTGGTTCGCATAATAGTAACAATAGCGATTCTTCTGAGGCCATGAATACATTAAACTCAAGGTCAACCTCCTCACCATCAATAACTGGAGTAACGACCACAACTACCCCACCTGCCCACACTTCCAATACCGGACCACCAGATAACGCACTCGGATCACTCAAGTATGAGCAAGAGTTGCTCTACATAACCGATCCGTGTACTGTTATTGGTAGAAATTCATCAACTTCTCATGTGCATTTCCATGTGGCCGAGAATAATCTTGTATCGCGCAAACACTTTCAAGTGCTATTCGATGGTGAAACACGAGACTTCTACGTACAGTGCTTGAGTAAAAATGGTATATTTGTCAATGATTTCCTTCAACGTCGCAATGTAGATCCGTTGAAACTTCCCGCAAAGTATGTATACATAAAATGCTTATATTTAAAAAATAAAATTTCATTATATATTCATATACTATTTATTTTAGTTGTTATTTCCGTTTCCCGAGTACCGAAATTCGCATACAATTCGATAATTTTGTGTACACTGGCTTAAGTAATATTAACAGTTCAGCTGGCAATGCCACCAATGAAAATTCCCATAAAAACCATGGACCACATGCCGCTGGCTTACATGGCAACAAAAATTTAGGAAATAATAGCAGTGGAGCTGGGAGTGCGCACGTAATTATATCACCTGCACCACCGGATGAACATCAAATTGTACACCCGCAACATCATCTACAAAATACAACCGCGATAGGAGGAGGTTCAACCTCATCAACAGCGGGCACATCGCATTTAGTACCTATGGACAGTTCAAATGTGATCTATTCGCCGTTAAAAATTTCAATTCCCAAAAAGGAGCAAAAGAGCCCGTATTTGTCACCAACTGGCAAGTCGAAAATTTTATTTATTATATATTCGTTTTTGTTGTTGTTTTTGTTTCTGTTTTTTTTTCTTATAAGATTTTTTATAACTCAATTAGAAAAGGTTTTGATTCTGATTTTGATTTTTGTTTATGTTATTCGAATTTATGCATTAGTATGCATTATTTTCAGTTATTCACAAATTTCAGTAAGAAGAAATGCAACGTCAATATTTATATTCACAATGTATGTATGTATATGTGTATGGCCGACGTTGGTTTGCCTGAATTTGAATTTAGCTTGAATTTGAATGTAAACTGTCATCGTATCGCATACAGTCAGGCCAAACCATATTTTCTCTGAAATGGAGACAAGTGAAATAAACATTCCTTGCTAGCTAGTAGCTAGCTTAAAGCGTGTACAGTACAGTAGACAAAGTGGTCTTAAGAGGCAAAGTGGTGATTGCTTTCTACTATTTCCATCATATATGAATTAATTAATTCGTAGACGATAAAAGGAAGTAAACAAACAATTTGTTTATTAAATGCAATAGTATCTGTTCTGTTCTTCTGTTCTATATTTGTTTATTTGAAACTCAAAACATATTTTACGACATTTGTAAAACACAATTTTGTAATATTTTTTTTTTTTTTAGATATTTGTCGTTATTGTTTTATTTGCCATAAAGCGTGATTTCTTATGAAACCCATTAATTATTAAAATAATGCGCAATATTGAACTGATTATTCAATCCACAATTTTAAGATTAACACGAAGAGACGGTAGAGCAATTGATTATATGCTAACTATTCTGGCAATGTATAGAATTGAAAATTTTATCAATTTTATTTATTAATTAAATAAAATAGGTTTTATAAGGATTACATTAGAGTAAGAATAATATTTGACAGTGTTCCAAAACAACAACTGTATAGCTTAATTAAAAATAAATTATTGTAGTCAATATGCTCTACTAAGAACTACTTTTCCGTCAGAAATAGTGATTAATTTTATTAGGTTAGGCTGGAGTGGCGACTTTGGGCGGTTAAATAATGGTCCACTATAAACTACTTCTTCGTCAGAAATAGTGACTTTCATTTTATTAGGTTAGGCTGGAGTGGCGGCCTACTTCTTTTCCGTCAGAAATAGTGATTTTAATTTTATTAGGTTAGGCTGGAGTGGCGACTTTGGGCGGTTAAATAATGGTCCACTATAAACTACTTCTTCGTCAGAAATAGTGACTTTAATTTTATTAGGTTAGGCTGGAGTGGCGGCCTACTTCTTTTCCGTCAGAAATAGTGATTTTAATTTTATTACGTTAGGCTGGAGTGGCGACTTTGGGCCCAAAGCCCACCTGCGGTTAAATAATGGTCCACTATAAACTACTTCTTCGTCAGAAATAGTGACTTTAATTTTATTAGGTTAGGTTGAAGTGGCGGCCTACTACTTTTCCGTCAGAAATAGTGATTTTAATTTTATTAGGTTAGGCTGGAGTGGCGACTTTGGGCCCAAAGCCCACCTGCGGTTAAATAATGGTCCACTATAAACTACTTCTTCGTCAGAAATAGTGACTTTAATTTTATTAGGTTAGGTTGAAGTGGCGGCCTACTACTTTTCCGTCAGAAATAGTGATTTTAATTTTATTAGGTTAGGCTGGAGTGGTGACTTTGGGTCCAAAGCCCACCTGCGGTTAAATAATGGTCCACTATAAACTACTTCTTCGTCAGAAATAGTGAGTTTAATATTATTAGCTTAGGCTGCAGTGGCAGACTTGTGCCCAAAGCCGACTTGGTCCATTGCGTAATTATATTAAAACATATACAGTCAAACTTCCATAATTCGAAGTAACATTTAGCAAAGAAATGGTTCGACTTAAGGAGACTTCGAATTAAAGAATTTTTTTGTAATTGTATGTAATTTGCTCTCTAAACACTATTGCACTCTATTTAGTTTAATTTATAGAAAATTCGAGTTAGAGAAGTTCGTGTTATGGAAGTTTGACTGTATATTTTCTAATCACACAAGAAGCGTAACTTATAGAATTTATTATTCACATAATAACTAATACTTAATAGTTTGTTTAAAGTCTGTAAAAAAACTTTTCAATATAAAAAAAGTATATATAAAATATTTTATTAATATTATTAATATTTGTGACTTAATACTAAAATTAATTTTAAAGTTAACTGAGAATAAGGAAGTGGACTATTAAAATCTTCGCCCTATAAAATAGTTAATTGTGGATTAGTATTGTATTGTATCGAAATACCATTTGAAGTATTAAGAAAATATGTACAAATATCTTACAAAAGAACAAAGATCTATTGGTGAGAAAGAATCAAATTTAATAGAAATTAGAAATTATTTGTATACCTAAGAACTTAGTATTTCTACAAAAACTTTCCAGTAGTTCCTATTCCGTGCCATATATTTAAGCTCATTAAACGATTTGGATGTTGCTGTGAATACTGTTCGCTTCCATATTGTCTTTTGTCGTTCCCTTCTTTCTCTTCTTGTTGTTGTAACCCGTTGAGACCTGCTTGTGAAGACTTTTTGGGATGTGTAATATGACATTTGGTCGTCGCTGACGACAACTGACTTCGAGACGTAGACCGACCCGGTCTTTCTTGAAACCTTCTCTTCTCCTTGATCCAGTCGGGTTCCATTCTAAGTCTGAAAGAGCTATACTGCACGTATCTTTGTTTGGTAATCTCTAAAAGTCTGGCATTAGTGATTGTACGTGACCAGAAAATTCATAAAATGCGCTGTAAACATCGGCTTGAAAATGATTGCATTTTGTTAATGATGTTGTTTTTTTATATGCCGTGTTTCACAGGCGTACAATAAGATAGTCTTTACAAATGTGTTGAAAATTTTTATTTTAGTTGCCTAAACTCTAATTAATAAGCATAGGCACGCTTCACTTTTTGAAGGCGATTACATACATCTAACAGACTGCCATCCTCGGGGTTAGATTCACTTAGTATTAAAAGTTAAATTCTTGAAATAAAATATTTATAGTCTATAGTAAACCGCATCTACACAATACATTTATTTACGAGATAAAATCTCAGCCACTAGACAGTACAGTAGATATGCTGCCATTAATTCTACATGATTATGATTAATAATGCATAATTCGTTATATATGATTTAATTAATATTCCAATAAAAAGTGGAAATATGATACCAAATCTCTCGCCTAATGTCTAAAATACTCCACAAAATTCATGTAAAACACTTTATCCTTCTATATAATGAATTACAGAAATAATGTACGTAAGTAGTTAATTAAAATATCAATAAAGACATAAACACAAACAATTTTGCAATTTTTGGTGCTGTTAACTGGCATTTATTTCATTTTTTCCCAATGCAGTAAACAAATTTTGCGCGCATTTTTATTATTTTAATTAGTATTTTGATAAATTATTTTAAGAATTTTTTTTGTTTAAAAAAAAACCTGCGAATCAAAATGTGTTACGTACATTATTAGAGCTACAAGTATTACTTCAGCTATTGAAAATTTCTAGTATATTGATGGTCCAGTATACTTGTGCTCAAATACAGAGAACCACTCCATAATACCATATGGTGTTTTTGAGAATTTTTTTAAACAAATAATATTATATTAAACATTATATAAAGGAGGTTTCCTGTTCGAACATATAAAATGTTTCCTCCTTTCGTGTTTTCTACTCATGGAAATGTTTAAATTCGTGCATACTCGAGCTGTTCGAGCATTTTGGAGTGCTAACGGGTAAACAATTTAAATCTGAATCTATTACCAGTCTATAACCTAACTCTATTAAAACAAAGAGAAGAAGTTAACATCCCAATACTACTTCGCCATAATATTAAACGAACACTTAATTTAAAAAAAAAAGTAATTGCTGAAGTTGTTATACCACTGACTCTTTTTTGGTTGGATATTTATGGTATATATCTTTCTTAACATGTGTAGCTTTCGATGTTATACTGCCTAGTTTTTTTTTCCTGTTCAGACGATCCTATTGGATCCTATTCTATTGGTTTTATTTTTTCCGATCAGATACAACGGCTTTCCGCTCAAACATACCTATTTTGTTAGTTAACTATTTCCCATCATTTATCCATTGTTTCTCTTTTGTGTTGTAAGTTGTAAGTCTCTGGACATAAACTAAAAACAGGATTGTTTTTTAAGTTTGTTTTGTAAAGAGTGAGCTAGCTTTTGTTCATTTGAAAATAACATACTTATAGCTCTGTAAAGTAGACCCGATCGTTCTTGCAGCCATCATCAATCCATTTCTTTCCTGTTAACATATTGTTTAATATGTATTTATTTATATATATACATATATTTTTAAATATTAATTTATACTAATTTAGCAAATTTTTTATGGTTTTCTTTTAGGTACGATAAGTGCAGCAAACAGTTGTCCAGCAAGTCCGCGTCAAAGTTTTCATCAAAACCAAAACAATTACAACAATTATGCAAACAACAATTTACAAAACGTAAATCCAACAACAACTTTTATACATTTTAACATAAATAATAATGTTTATTAATTTTAGCAGGATTTATTCCAAACACCTTCAACTGCTAGTTACAACCACAATGAGAAGCCACCTTACAGCTATGCTCAATTAATAGTACAAGCTATATCTGCTGCACCAGATAAGCAATTAACGCTATCGGGCATTTATTCATTTATTGTGAAACATTATCCATACTACCGAAAGGAGACTAACAAGGGTTGGCAAAATTCCATACGTCATAATCTCAGTTTAAATAGGTAAGTACTGTATTAAAAATTTAATAATTAAAAAATTCTAATAGTAAAAAAATATTCTTTTAATATAAGTGTTTATATAATTCAAGATTTTAATTTAGGACGAGATAAACTCATTTTTCTTTAATAACCTATTTAAAAGTTTTAATTAAATTGATCTTTCCGAGGAGGAATAGATCAAACAATTCAATACAATACCCATCTGCCAACACAATGTCGTTGTTGCTATTCTAATCGGTAGATCACTTTATATTAGGAAACATGAAGAAAATTTAAATACGAATATATGGCTTAGACTATGATTAGATAAGAGTAAAGTGAAAAGAGGAAGGGATGTTTGGGATAAGGGTTGAAAAAGAGCTGGCTGGGTTTTAATTAAAACTAGCCAGGGTCGAGCTGTAGAAGTTTAGGTACTTTAATAGATTGGAGCCAAATATTAATAGGGCTCCGATTTATATATACATTAGGATATAAGAACAAAGGGACGACGTCATGTGAAGTGGACCTGCAGTTACAGCAAAAATGGAAAATTGACTTATTTATAAGTGACAAATAATTGTTTATCACGCGAATATGTCCTGATTAGCATAAAAAAACTGGTTGCTGCACGAGGACATCGTCTCTCCTCTCTAGAGATATCACACGAAAGCTTGTGGAAACCTTTGTTACTATGTAACCGTGATCTCGAAGAGGATACTGCAATAGTATGAATAGCTATTAGCCCTTGTTTGTGTTTAGCCTCTATTGCAGTAGGTTTTTATGCACTCATTAGATGCGAAGACAAGGATCGTCTGATGTGGCGTAGAGAAAGGGTTTATGTTCATGTCGCGAGTAAGATGCCGATGTATTCGACACACAAAATATTGCATAGACAGAAGTTAATAATACTTTTTTACAACAAATATATTGAAGATGATCAACATACAATGACAGCCGGTAAAAGTATCTTTCATGAAATTTTGAGTAGACCCCTTCTTTAGTTCTTTAAGTTATAAAATTCATATCGATATTATTGTCAATTGATACGATAATAATAGACTTTTTATACTTTTGTAGATATTTTATTAAAGTGGCACGTTCTCAGGATGAACCAGGTAAAGGTAGCTTCTGGCGTATTGATCCTGATAGTGGTGCCAAATTGATTGATCACAGCTATAAGAAGCGACGTCAACGCAGTAGTCAAGGTTTTAGACCTTCATACGGTATGCCACGTTCTGCACCAGTATCACCAAGTCATATGGGTATTTTTATAACAAATTTTCAAAGAAAATATTTTTATTAACAAAATAATTTTTTTTGTAGACAATTCACGTGAGAGTTCACCATTGCAAGATATTGTATTACAATCTGCACCTGGATCACCAGGCTTATCTTTGGAAAATCGTCCAGCTGAAGCTGGTCAGTAAACAAAATTTGCAATAATATTAATATAGTTTATATAATGTGTAATATTATCTTTTCTTTTTTTTTTTTGTTAAAGATCTTGTGTATAATTCTCAAAATGTACACCAATCAGCTGCAAATAATTCTCACACTCAATATAAGTAAGCATAAAATTATATATATTTATATTTATAAAAAACTGAAATAAATATGCAATTATAATTTTATTAGTAGTGGCAGCCCATATTACATTTCAAATCAAAATTCTGTTATTGGTTTACCTGGAGGAGCACAATTACAACATGAAAGCAGTGGAAATAGTGGAGGCAATTCAGTTGGAACTCTTATTCAACTCAAACGTAATAATCCCATGACTGCAAATACTGGTGCAGCAAATATTGCTCATCACCAACAACAACAGCAGCAGCAGCAACAACAACAACAACCACAGCAACAACAAATTAAACAACCACTACATCCTGATATCATCTATGAGGAAATGCCAACAGATTATAGTGGCAATATGGAATCTGGCGATGAGTGTGACGGTGCCAAACGGCCAAAATATATTTCTGAAGTACTCTGATGTGTTTACAATGTGCGTGTTAAGCAACATAATTGAAACCTATATACATTAAATCAAATTTGAGAAACGACAAACACACGTAAACACAAAAACAAATACAAATACCAATCATGTATATTGAATTTGACAACAAAAATTATGTGAATTTTGCTTATTTTATTACTATATTTTAATATTAGTTTTTTTTTATACTTATATATTATAATTTCGAAAATTTATTCGTGTAACGAATTCAATTTAGTTTTTTTGCTCTTTAGACGAATTCAATATACTTGAAGATCTAAAAAGTTTACAAAAAAAAAAAAAACAAAAGAAAAAAGCATTGAACTTTTAAATAATCATTACTAAGTTGATGTAATTAAGTTTGTATTTGATTACAAAATATGTATAATTCTATATTAAAATTATTATTGATCTACAAAAAATTTATTATTATATAAAATTACTTGTATAATGATTGCACCTCTTTCTATTAATAAAACAACCAATTAAGTGTTTGGACAAAAAATGTGTATTAAACCTAAACTCCATTAGCGTTTTTATTTAAGACAAATAAATATTTCCATTAACTTAATAAGTATTATATATATAAATATATATAAAGTAGACAGTAAAAATCAGTCTGTTGTCCCTTAAATATTCTAGCTGTAGCGACAACAAAATCAAGGATATAATATACAATTATATTTGGTAAATTATACTTTAGTTTATTAATTACTATACTAAATTTTATTATGTCAAATCACAGTGCTCCAACGAAAAAAGGTCTTGGATCATTGGAACTAAAAACCAAAGCAACAGCGACAGCCAGACACTTCGTTTATGCATCATAACTTTGACTACAAACAACAAATTTATAAAAAAGCAGCGATTAAGATGGTTTGGACATGTGATAAGAATGCTAGATATGAGAGTATCGCTTAAGATTTATGAGAACGAAGTAGGAACCAACAGAAGAAGAAGAAGGCGATCAAGAAAACGATGGAAAGACTGTGCAGCAGGACTTAAAAGTAATGAATATAAGAAATTGGAAAAGAAAAGCAAAAAACAGAGAACAATGGAAGACTGTTGTTAAATAGGCTTAGGTCCTACATGGACTATATAGTCACGGAAGATGTCGATTTATGCCTGCAGTGTGACTACAAGTCATTTACAAACTGTTAAAAATTAGCTTATATTTTAAATTATTACAAAAAAAAAATGATTTTGAAATGAAAATGAGCATAATTTTACAATGCAAACTGAGCTTACCCGTCATAGTTCTTGTTGTTTCTTATATTCGTTAAAAATCCTGAGGGATATTATATTAACATTCTTATTATATTTAATAAGATTTTCTAATAATAAATTTCAAAACAAAATAAACTAAATAGTTTATAAATTAATTAAGTAATAATATTATAACAGATTATTGTAGTAAACTACTGAAAAGTTTTAATAATTTTAAACGAATCCAAAATTACGAATGATAGTAAAGAGTGATGATATTGTTTTTATTTGGTAACTTAACACAAGTTTTCACATTTTATATAATATTACATATTAAGTAAGTTAAAATCTATATGTTTCGAAGTTAAATAAAATATTTTGGTAAATATTTCTTGCCGCGTAGCGTTTTCAAAATTCAGAAATTAATTATTCATTCCCAGGAATGTATGCGTTTACGTGTATGGATGGCTTATCTCTGTTTAAATTTATTAAAAATAAGAAATTAAGTGTATTTTACAGATTTTTACATTATGTACAAAATACCACTATTGTATGTGATACGTTTATACTATGTTCAGACAGCCAAATTTTGTTAATTTTATTAAAATGAAATTAAGTTAATTTTGAAAGTGTTCATACTGCAAGAAATTAAGGAAATCATATGTTTTTTATTTACAAATTAAATGTTAAAAATTATTTGCTCCAAACTCCATTTGTATCTGGGAAATTTTGAATGTTGTTTATTATAACTATAAAGGATGGCATTCAGTAGTTTTATTAGCTTTAGTGGATTTCAAGTATGTGAATTATTATTTTTCACTCTATTTTAAATTAATAACAGTTAACAAATATAAATATAAAAATTTGCACTTCAAATTTAAAAAAATTTGCACTACTTTCAAAATATTTTCCCAGTTTTATTAAAATGAACTGTTACTGACATTTATTTAAAAAAAATACTACTTTTTCGTTATCTCATCTTTATTTTTTCCTTTAAATTTATCTTACGCATAGTTGCATTTGAAATGTCCCTTCATTTTAGCCCTCGTTTCAACGTAATTAAGGCTATTTTCCTTAATTTCGTTCTAACCCTAAAACTGAATTTTGTATGGAAAAAATAACTTAATTTAGCTGAAACGTAGACGAAATTAAGCTAATTATACTTTTGAAGTGCTTTTACTGATAAGTGATACTCAAACTTTATAATTCCTTTAATGATGTTATGTAATGTTTAAAAGCGATGTTTCTCACTAAAATTGTTAAACCGCTTTTAGTAAACTAAAAGAGGTTTTCTATCAGAATTCTTTCAAGGCCGCTTACAAGAACCTAATATGGGGTTTACACTAGCTGAAAATGAGTCATTTCATGTGAGTCATATGAAAGTGTTTACATTCGTTGTAATTCATTTGTTGTTATTTCATGATTTTTCAAGTTACCTATTAATTTGATTTTTGGTCTGTGCCAACAAAAATGTTACATGAAGGTTAAATATACCTTCAAATCTTACAATATAAACTGAAAACTTATTTTTAGCTTCGATTAATTTATTTTTGGGAAGTAGAAGTTCCAAAAAGAGGTGCATCGTTTTAAAGGATATGCAACCACCAAACATTTATTTACCTTTTTTGTAAATATGTCAAAAAAAGTTTTCTAAAACTGTCAAAATGCCATGAAAAGCTTTTATTGGGATATGTTCAACGTATTCATCTGCATTCTGAACATATATGGAACTCATTCTAACCTCGTTGGAAGTCATTTATACAGAATGAGATCGAATGGATCTCATTTGCGCTTGAGATTTTGTATGCAAAAATGAGTCATTTACTTGTAATTTTTGATTTGTGACCAAAATGAGCCATTTGTGGTCAGTGTAAATCCCATATAATACTGATTTTAAGTTCCTGAAAAAAACTATATTTGCAATGTAGTTGTTGTTTTTGCGAAAGAGTTTGTTAATGTAATAGAATAGAACATGTACACACTCGATTATTTGTGTTTTCAATTGAGTAATAATTTTAATCCAGCATCACTGCATGAATTCTGCAGATTAACATTTTTATTGTAATAATGCAACAGCATTATTTGTAAGATTACGATTTCTTGAGTCCCATGTTTTTATTACATATTTCCACTATGCTTTATAGCGATATGGCTTGTTTCTTCAAGCCAAACATGTTAACTTTTTATATTGATTACACAGACAACATCTAAACGGGCTAGATGGATTATTTGTCATCATACTATAATCTAGCTAAATATTGTATATTCATACTTGTTGTTACTATGTCGTGATTACATTTTGTTCATTCAATCGGTAATAAAATTTACAATTTTTGACCCCACATTGCAATATAAAGTTAGATTGGCCAAATAACTTTCTTCAAGAACTGTCGTGGAATAAATCTCTGATTCTAGTATATTATAATTTTATCTAAATATTTCTACAACATTAAAATATAATTGTGAATACTAACATTGCCATTCACAGTAGTAGAAGTAATTGTGAATAGTTACTTGAAACTTGTCAAAACTTGAAAGGCAACTGCATACATTCCACCATTGATCTTTGAGCCATTTGTGCGAAGTAGATATTTTGCTGTCGAAAGTGTGTAAAATTTATTAACAAAATGCCAGCTAAAGCAGTTTGTGTTATTAATGGAGACGCTCAAGGAACCGTCTACTTTGAACAAGAGGTAATTTTCTTGAAATTGTTTTTATTTGAATATGGACATTGGTGAAATAACCATGTTTAAAGTGCTTAGAATTCTTAAGTGAATTTTGATAAAAAGTTGCATTGTCACTTGCAATGATTATAAGGTTTACATATGTATATGTGTGATAATAATTGATGAACCCGGCCTATAGAATGTGTGCTAATAAGTAATTGAAATAATTTGTAACATACAAAAAACAATTTTGTTAATCAATATCAAAAAGCAACAACAACAAGTAGTTATATAATTTATGTTTTGTGTTGTTATTTCTATATTAGCGGCGTCGGCATCTCATCCGAAGTGCGGAATCCGGTGTAAAAACGTACTGTACTTTGTGGTTGTCTCTATTATATTACAATCGTTTTATAAAAATCTAAAAAAGTATAATTGATATTATTTTATAAAAACCACACATTTTATTTAGAAAAAAAGTTTTTTTTTTCTTTAATTAACTTAGATAATAAATGAGTTTCACATGTTTACGTTGTTTTATTGTCCACCAATTTAAAAATTCACTTAACCTCTGAACTAAATTATAATTAGTATTAATATAATTCACTTAACTAATGGAAGTTGAGCTTGTGTTTAATACAAAATGTTTAATTATAAGTTTTGATTGTGTTTGATTTACTCAAAAAAGTCTGAAGTCGATCGCATTTAAATTACATTGTTATCATTATAAATAACAAATAATGTTTTATTTGAAAAAACATAATTTTAATACAAAAAGTATTACTATAAACCTTTTAGTGAAATATAGATATACTATCTTATAGATATAGCAAAAAGAAATCCATTATTTTTGCATGACATTGCGGGCTTATTTATCATAGAATGTTCCGATTTAGGTTCATTTGTTATACGGCGTTTTGTGCGATAACTTGTTGCCATTTTAAAGGTAATTTTATTATGAATCTCTTATAGAAATCCTCGTTTCTATCGGTAAAAAATTGACACTATCGATATTCAAAAGCCTCCCTTGAAGCAAATGTTTCACCAGTAAAATCGTTTGCCATTGACAGGAACAGATGGTAATCAATTGATGCCAAGTCAACCAAGCTCCCGGAACTTTTGGTGAGTCATTATCGATGTTTGTGGCTCTACGGGGCATCTCAATGAGAATTTTAGATTTCCTTTCATCGGAAAGTGGCCAGATTGCATACAGATATCTACATATCGCTGAGTCTTCTCATCTTTTGTTAAAGATTTCTGTACAGAAAGAGTTCAGTAATAATTTACAAGATGTTAGCGATATGCCCTGATTGTCTAGGTGTTCCGAGTAAGGTCCTGAAGCACCCTTTCTGGCTAGATTAGAGAAATATTGAGTTGCGTCAACATTTCGTTTTGAGATGTGTATCAGTCAAAAACTGACCTAGATGTAAATTGGACTGAATTCAACCTTTCTGGCTAGCTCGTCTGCCCTGCAATTACCGAAAATATCCCTATGGCCGGGAACCCAGATTAGAGAAATATTGAGGTGCGTCAACATTTCGTTTAGAGATGTGTATCAGTCAAAAACTGACCTAGATGTAAATTGAACTGAATTCTTTAAAGCAGTTAGACTGTCTGATAGTATTGTATATATTTCTGCCTAATATCATCTACATTCAAACAAGCTATAGCTTCCTTAATGGCGATCACAAGAACTTAGACATTAAAAAAAAAACGTTCTAGCCAATGTAGGTAATTTGAAAACTTGCACCGCGGAACTTGTTGAGTTTTTAAACGCTGATGTAGATATTTAAAGATAAAATGAAACGACATCACTAACCGCATTGACAAACACTGACACTATCAATAGTAGTTTTTATCAATTGTAATCTTACAAATTGATAAGATTTTCAATAGAAATCTTACACATCGTTTAGATTTATTAACAGAAATCTTTCAAATAAATAATATTTAAAATCATTTTCAGAATGACAGTTGTTCAGTTAAAGTAACTGGTGAAGTCACAGGACTATCAAAGGGTTTGCATGGATTCCATGTTCATGAATTTGGTGACAATACCAATGGTTGCACATCAGCTGGACCGCATTTCAATCCACACGGCAAGGAACACGGGGCCCCCGCCGATGAGAACAGACACATTGGTGATTTGGGTAACATTGAAGCATCTGGAGATGGTCCTACAAAGGTATGTAAAATATTATTATGAAGAAGTGAAAATGAAAATATATTTATTTGATATTTTGGTAATAGGTTTGTATTGATGATGGCAAAATCACCTTATACGGTGCCAATAGCATTGTTGGACGCGCTGTAGTTGTACATGCTGATCCTGATGACTTGGGCAAAGGTGGTCATGAGCTGAGCAAATCAACTGGAAATGCTGGAGCTCGTATCGGTTGCGGTATTATCGGCATTTGCAAAATTTAAATGAACAAACTTTATTGAACAAATTGCATTAAAATATTATATATTCTTATCAAATGCAAAATTTACTAATATGATTTGTTTTAGACATAGTTATTAAAATGGGTACCATTAAAAAAAATTAAATAAAGTTATGGTGATTTGAATCCACAAATTAAAATGCATGTTTATGTATTTGGTAAAAGTGATAAATGCAATCAAAATGTTTTTGATGAGACTATATTCAATAGTATATAATAGTATATAATACTAAAACACATAGGTACTAGATACACTGAAATCGGTGGTGGTTACTCTTATAGTTTAGATAAGGATACAGTAATATTCTGTAGACCACTTTTGCTTGTGATTGTTAATCATATGTCGCACGTCAACAAAATTAACAGCCTGATAAAGGAGTTACATATAGTAACATCAATCCAGAAAGTGTTATTTCTCGTCTGTAACTCGCCTAAAGGGTGTTCTATTCTTAGAGGTGTTTGAATTAGCATAATTATTACTTGTTATTGTTGTCATAGTAGTCCGTAGAGATCTATATAGCTGGGTTGGCTGCAATACCGGCGCCGTTCTCATCAACCTTAAGAAATATCGGTGGCTGCAAGATATATATTGCATGTTAGGTGAGGTGAGGCAGGATAAACCTGTCTGGAAACAAGAGAAGTTCATGTATAAATGGAATATTAATTGAAGTTAACCTCGTTCCAGGGTAGAGGGAATGTAGCCACTTCAATGGGAATAATTTGTTGGTTTACTTTATAGTATGATTTTTTAAATTTTTAAGACAAATGCAAATGCCTATCTACCACTAATCAGATATGTAGTAACTAGATTGTCTCAAAGACTTAGAACTACTCTAGTTGTTCTTGTTGTTATGTTAGCCCGCAATGATCTACCTGTGTAATTCCTTTTGAGAGTGCTGAATACCACTGGGATGTCGAGTTCGGCAAATGGTTCCGCGACGTAGACCCTACCGTTCTTGGAATCAACTACTCCTGCCGGTTTTGGCATTGATTAGGATATAGTCTCGTGTAAATCAGTTGTCAAACAAATCCTTCCGGGTATTCGATTGAATTTGTACATCGTCAGAAAATCGTGAAACCTCGCGCAAACCTCTTGCTTCTTTTAATTACTATTTCTGAGTCCTGTGCGCAGATTTCATTCCTATATCATATCTTTTTTAACGAAATTTTTATACTTTTAAAAACGTATCTAATGAGCCTAGCTATAGGGATATATGAAACGATCCTAGTCACTCTCCTCAAAAGGGAAAAATACAGTTAAATTAGTATTTTAAATAGAAAATATTTATTTAAATTAAAATAATTTATTTATAATAATTTCGTATTAATTTTACTAAATTTATAATAGTTATACTATTAGTTTCAATTTAGTAGGAAAATATTTAAAATCATGCTTATCATACACTTCTTTAATGAGGTTGTGAAATGTGTTTTGTTATTTGTATTTTTATCACTTGAGAGGTTGTTGTAAGCTTCTTGTGAACAATTATTTGATAAGAATGTTGATATTTCATACAGTTTTTAACTATTCTCTTCAATCTCTTTATATACTTCACGTTTGTATTCATCTAAACCACCTTCAATTGCGCGTACAGTACGATTTCCACAAACCCATAGTTCCTTGCAAACTACTTTAATGAGACGCTCATCGTGAGAAACTAATATAATACCACCCTTTAAAAATCAGTAATAAAAATTAATAATAAATAAATTAATATAGTAATGTTTGTGTTTAATTACCTTAAATGCATTAATTGCTTTTCCTAAAGCATCAATCGTTTCGATATCCAAGTGATTTGTAGGTTCATCAAGTACCAAGAAATTAGGTTCAGCTATAAGGGGATTTTTACAAATTAAAACCTACAACATTCAAAAGAAATTATATTACATACCCATGCACATTTTAGCTAATGCCACACGTGATTTCTGTCCTCCAGACAAGCTGGCAATACTTTGCAAAGCTAGAGTACCAGATATACCAAAGCTACCTAATTGTCTACGGTATTCTTCATCAGGTCGACCAGGAAACAGTTCCGCTAATACGCCTACGCAGGTTTGATTCATATTTAAATGATCCACATGATGTTGTGCGAAGTAACCTATCCTTAAGCTACGATGTAATACAATATTGCCAATTATTGTGCTCAGTTGACCGACAATGATTTTAAGTAGCGTTGATTTACCGGCGCCATTTTCACCAACCTTTAGAAATATAAAAGTGTTATTTGAGTTAAAGTGCAATTTATTAACAATTGTTTGTAGCTTACAATGCAAATTCTGGAATCTGAGGTAGCTGAAAGTGAAACATTCTTGAATATTGGTAATGGATCAGAGGAACTGTAACGAAATTCGATTTCGGAAATAGCCATAACTGGTGGATTAAGGGGCTCAACTTCAGGAAACTTAAGCTTAACTTCAATCTCTTTTTCAACAGGCTTCAGTTCAGGTCTATAAATATATAAAACAAATGATTTAATGATTAAAAAAGTTATTAAAAAATTAGTTTACTTATTTAGATTTGTTTAACTGTTTTCTATTTCAAACATAAATCTTATAATAGGATATTAAACATTTATAATTAAGTATTTAAGCTAATCAGCTAAGACTGACTGGGATAAAGTAATTGCCTGTAAACAAGCTAAAGAATCCATGCCAAATCGATCAAAAGTCAGAACTAGGGAGCTACTAATGCTGAACAGGAAAGGTATCCGATATGTTACAACGTTTCTCACTGGACATTGTGGAATCAAAAAACCTTATTGATTCTAGGTATTATAAGGGACGATAACTACATACTTTCTCATGAAGAAGAGGAAAGAGCAGAGCACATTCTGTGTCACTGTAATAGTCTAACCAGACTCAGACTTCGCTTTTTATCTCTCTAAGGGATATAATCGAATTTTTAACTACTACGCGCTTGTGAAATTAAAGTGTGTTTATCACAATAGTTCTCAAAGGATGCAGTGATATGGTGGCATAGTTCCTAATCCTTTCTAATCTATCTACATATGTACATAATATCATATAAATATGACTAAGACATTAAAAATATTGTAGGTCTTTTTTTGGTTAAACTTACAGTTTTTCCAGCATTTTGATTTTTGATTGCACGGACGATGCTCGATTAGCATTATATCGAAAACGATCAATAAATTCTTGAACATGTGCCCGATACGCTAATTGTGCCTCATATTCGCGTCTTTGTGCTTTCAGTTTCTCATTCTTCGTCTTCTCAAACTGTTCATAATTTCCTCTAAAAGCAATAAAAAATATGTAATTAAAATAAAGTTTAAGCAATTTTAATAACAAATTACTTGTATGGTTCCAAAATTTGGGAATGTAAATGTATTATATCTGTTGGTACGGTATCCAAGAAATTACGATCGTGCGATACTACTAACAAAGTGGTGGGCCACGTTTGTAAATAATTTTCTAACCAAATGATAGCCTTAATATCCAACATGTTTGTCGGTTCATCAAGTAATAATAGATCTGGTTTTGAGAAAAGTGCACGTGCTAAAGCTAAACGCATACGCCAACCACCTGAGAATGATTTAGTTGGACGTTGTTGCATATCAGCATCAAAACCTAGACCTTTAAGTATCACAGATGCACGCGCCACAGCTTTATCAGCTTCGATATTTTGTAATTGTATATAAATTTCACTTAGTTCCGCACTTAGCGACGTGTCCTGTACGCCACTGTTCAAAGCTGCTAGTATATCTTTCTCGCGTGTTAGTAAACGTGTTCTTTCGGTGTCACATTCCAGCACGCTATCAACAGCTGAGGTCTCATCGCCTACTACTTCTTGCTCAACATGTAATACTGTTATATGCGATGGTATCTGCAACTGTCGATCTGAAATCATACGCAATAATGTCGTTTTACCCAAACCATTACGACCAACTAGACCGTATCGACGCCCGAATGATAACAGTAGATCTGCATTTTGTAGCAGTACTCTAGTAAAATAAATAAAATGTTTTATTTAAACTGACTTTGTTAGTGTTTATTTAACTTACTTGTCACCAAATGCCAAATCGAAGTTTTCTATTTTAATGTCCATGGAACGATTTGTGCCTTTCTGTTCCATTTTTGTATTTTTCTTGTTTGTAACCTGAGACGCAGTGGCTGTTTGTAGTTTAACAGTTTGTGCAACTTGATTTTTGGTGGCATCTAAACGTTTTTCCTGCTTCTGTTGTAACTTCGCCTCAGCCTTTTCAAGCTTTTTGGTATCAACTTTCTATATTATTAAAATATTAATCTCTTATGAAAAAATTTTTGATATTATATTTTGTTATTTATTTACATTTGAATTGTCCTTATTGACCACCCAAATGCTTTGTATATCCTTATCCATTGATTCCATATTTTTTGCCATTTCAGCAATATTAACAGGTGCATTTAGAACTTTTCGTACTTCATTTTTAGAATCAACTTTAAGTATGTTAAAGAATTGTTTACAAAGGTCCCTAAAATTTAAATATAAATTAAACAGATTATTATTATTATGAGAATCTCGAAAATGTACCTGACATTTTCCTCTGTTTTTTCACTGTTCACACTCTGTAGTATATCCCCAACGGCATCATAAATATCGTCAGAATTTTCAAAGTCATCCAAACTTCCCTCAAGAACACCTTGTAGAGGAGAAAGCATTGAAAAAAATATGTTTAGATTATGTATGTAATGAATGAATACCTTCAACATATTCCTTTAATTCATTGTCCATTGCTGGAAAATTCTTTTTCAGTATATCCGTAAATTTACTCATTTTCGTTAAATTGTTTAAATGCCTTTTTAATGAAATTTAATTAAAATTTTTCTGTATTGCCGAATAGACTAATTGCACATGCAATTTATTAGCTTCGTTAAATGTTAGTGTGACGACTGTCACCGGTTCCAGTTGATAATATATTTTTTTAGGTAAGCACCTAAATATGTTTTAAATATTTCTAACACTTTTCAGCTGCCTTTTTCGTTTAATTTTTATAATGAAAAACCACAGCAGTCCACATGAAACACTTAACTGGCAGATATTTCACGTTAAACTGTCAACAGTGCTGCCAAGTCAACGCAATTTGTATTTAAACCACAATTGTATAGATGTTGACATTTGGACAAGATAAACCATGCCAACCGCAATAATGATAAAAAAGTAAATAATGTGACTACCAAAATTTATGGTACACACAAAATCATTAAATTTGTATAAAAATAAAATATGTATGAAATAATATTAAACATTCACTTATTTGCTAAATAAATAAGACGCTGTTGTTGCAAATTCACAAAATAAATAACATTAGAAGTGACGCTCAACGCACGATTAAATCGCGTCGCTGAATAAATAAACTATTTTACTGTATGAAAAACAGTGCCTCAGCTAGAGTATATGTGGTAAACAAAAAATAGGGGTAAACGTACGAACCAATTAAATTTTGGTTTTTTGAGGTAAATATAGAGGAAATCTTGTGCCATTTTCGATTGGTAAATCTGGGGTAATTTTTTCAATCGAGATTTGCTTTAAGTGCAATTTTTATTATCGATTGTTTCCACTGCTTATTTAGTATGTTACTTCAGTTGTTGTGCCCATTAACATAAGTTACTTATTGCATTGTAAAGAACTTTTATGTGTCAGAAAGCTTCTGTTTGTTTAGAAAAATACACAAAAAATTATATATATAATTGATATATTGCTTTATGTCTTCCACAGTTAACTTGTACATTCTCATTGAAAACTTCTTTTGGGAATGTATTTATCATATTATTTATAATAAAAAAAAAGAAATAGATTAATAAAAAATATATTTCGTTTATTTATACATCACAATTACAAATATATTGCGAACTATATAGTTTTTAGCAAAGCAAGTGATATAATAAATTGTGTACAGAATAAGAGTTTAATTAAATAAAATTCTTGAAAAGATATATATGATTATAATCAAAACAAACATTTAATCTAAAAAAATGTAATAATAAAACTGAATTGTTAGAGAAAACTTATTTTAATATATAGTAGAAAGAAATAACATATATATATAATTACAAATGTTACAAAATTGAAATATTAAGGTCGTGTGCGAGTTAGGCTAAGTTGCGTATATTGAACTTTTTAACGATAAAATTCTAATAAAATAAATAAATACAAATATTCAATTTTAATAATATAAAGTTGTTATCATAACACTAAAAACAAATAAAATTTTATAATACAAATTACCTATAATGTTTACATATGTTAATATAGGCCTTGTGCGAGTTTGAGTAAATTGAGGTAAAGTAAATTGAAATTTCCTAGGGAGTTTTTGCACTGCACTTAAGTAAATATTTATTTATGTATTTATTGCACTTATTTATTATTTTTGTGTAAAAGTTTTCAAATATATTTAGTTATTTATTTATTAAACATCTTAGAAAATTTCTACAAGGATAATACCTTGTTAACCTAATTTTTATTTAATTTACCCTACTCGAAATTCTGGTCAACACCAACTTTCGCTGCCATACCGACATAATTTACTATTTCCCTCAATTTACTCGAACTCGCACACGGACATAGAGCTAATTAACATTTTAAAGTAAATACATTAATAAGAAAGTTCAAAAATTACCAGTAGATGACGCTTTTACAATTATTTTGACATATATACTTTTCCTTTAATTTTATGGCGCCATAACTTGACATTTGTAAAAACTTTGTTATTGAGAGCGCATCTGCTTTTGTTCTTGCAAAAATAGAAAAATGGTGCGAACATTAGAAATATTTCAAAACTGTTTCAGCAACTATACTTTATCAAACACTAACGTTTATGTGGCAGGAACTCTTTAAAAGAAGTCGTTAAACCGTTAAGGATGACGAGCGCATTGAAAAATCCCCGACATTGAAAACATCGATAAGATCAAAGATGTAGTCAAATTTCGCAAACTAGCTATCAGAGAGCTGGTGTAGGGCTTTAACATTGAATATGGATCAGATGTGTCGCTGCGAAGCCGGCGCCGAAAGATTTTGACTTCATACAAAAAGGGACTGCGTTGGCATCTCCAAAGACATACAGTGACTCACAGCTTATTTCGCGCAAGCAATATTTTTGTAGATTTAGTCGTAGTTTCAAAATTTTATTCAAAGTTATAAATTTTAAATATGCAGCTTGAAAGAATGTTTAGTTTTTATTATAAAGCAAAAAAAAAATTCAACAAATATATTAATATTCAAGAAGTGAACAAACACAAACATACAACATCAAATTTTGAATTTACAGCTTATTTCGTGTGATACACTACTTTTATTTAAAAAATTTATAATTTTTAACATAGAATTTAAATTAAATTTTGATTAAATTTAAATTTTAATGACTGCTTCCAACCTTGAATGCATCGAAGTAACTAATTTAAGGGTATATTCCCCTGATATTTTTTGGTATTCCAATTTTAAAGCAGCTTTCATACTTTCCTTGCTAGATATATTATGTTTTCTTATGTTAATTTTTAGAAGATGCTATAAATTTTCTGTAACATTTAAGTCAGGTGCTTACAAATATTGCTTGCACAAAATAAGCTGTGAGCCACTGTAATTTCAGCGGCTGAATCCGACTCAATGTTTATTAAACGCATTACAACTGGATATGAGACTGAGTTTACGAGGATGCCGTAATCCAGGCATCAGACGAAAACACCAAGTCTTTAGTCCCAAGAAAAAGTCCATGCTCATGGTTTTTATGACATACAACAGTGTTCTGTATAATGAATTCATGACAATTAAACAGTCAACAGACTGTTGTTTAGACACAAAAGGACAAGATTTGTGAATAAACAAATGGATTTTTCACTACGATAACGTACCTTCACACATCATTTTTCTTCATAACTTTTTGAACAAGAACCATCGAAAAGGTACCGAACAGGCATGATTTGTCTTTTTACGGTTTTTTATTGTTTGAATGACTTAAGAAACCAATCTGGGGAATACGTTTAATTAAAAATTAAATACGGTTCTGACGACTAACAAAAATTCGATTTAAGAACACGTTTCCAGAATTGAATGAAGCGCTGCTATAAGTGCGCTTCAGTCTTTGAAAAAGACAGTATCGATTATCAAGAATAAACTAGTATATTCGCTTTATTATAGTTGCAGCTTACATTTATATACATTCTTAATTTACATGCGTAATAATTTTAATTAAAATTATGCTAATTTAAAATCTAACTATATTAATAAAAGGGTTAATGTTCACAATATTTTAAAACTTGTTACATAAATTCATAAATAACCAGAATAAATGTTCGTTTGTTCATAATTTTATATAAATGTTAGATTTTACATATTTATTTCTATATACATAAAATTCTTTTTACATTTTTTTATTTATACTAAATATTGTTAGTCGTAAGGGTTAGTGTTATTATATATAATTGAAAAAACGAGTAAAAATATATGTACATAAAAAATTAAATTTAAAAAACATAGACGCAAAAACAAAAAAAAAATCACGAAAGTAAAATAAAAAAAAAAAATTAAGTGGATAAGTATATACATAATATGTTATATAAAAAAATATGGTTTTGTCATAAAAGCTTTGTGCATCTTCATTTAGGAAAATTATATATACATACAGTATTAATAATAAAAAACGATTTAAATATATATATATATTTTGTATATTTTTGCTATATAAATGATTCAGTATCTGAATTTTATGAAAGCATTATTTTATTTATTAGTTAACAATTAAGTTTTATGTATTTAGTGTGTTTTAGCCTAGCTTCCGCAGGGTATATTATGACTACTATAATACAGGTACCATTAAGAGTCTAAGCTATGAAGGTGTAAAGATCCCTCTTAACAGGTTTAAAAAAAAAACTAAAATAAAAATGAAGTACGTTAAAAAAAGCATGTGCAGATAAATTTACACACACCACTTAATAATGTTAAATTATATATTCATGCAATAAATAACAGATAAATTATTATATAAGTAATAATAATAAAAAAAAAAAAATTAGGTAGGCACACTAGTCGTAGAAATTACAGTAGCTGTTTTTCTTTGCCTTGCACCACGTCCTGATAATAAATAAGATAAGTCGCTTGGTGGCTCATTGGTCAATTGAGTATTCTTAAACTTGAGTTTCATCATATTGAGAAATACTTCCAAACGTGCACGTCTCTCCTTAATAACCTATATAAAAAAAATAATATAATTCAAAATTAAATTTTATTTGACTTATTAGAAAATACAGTATACGTATATATAGTATATATTTGTAATATATACTTTATACTGTACTTCAAGTAAGAGCTTAATGTATACAATGCAAACAAAAAATTCTCTTATTGTTTTTTTTTTCTATGTTCTGTAGCTAGAGAGGCAGAAACAATTATAGAAAAGTAGCATGGTTGAGAAAACCCCAAGGCTAAGTTGTTGAAAGACAATCTTTTGGCAAAATTTAACTATATTCATTGAGATGATTTTCTTTAAAAGTAATAGAATTATTATTGCGCTTCTCTCTGACACTTTGGAACCCCTATTATAGAAAGATTTATATGTGGTTAGAGAGTGTTCATCAGCGTTTCTTCTGGAGAACGACTTTTTCATTGAACAAATATCTTTTTCCCTTGAGTATTTTTAAGGTCTGTAAACAGGCAGTTGTCGCTGGACACCAAATCTAACGTATACGGTGGATACAGGAGTAATTCAAGTATATAAAGAAGTAGTTCGTACAATTTCGTCATTTTAACTAACAAACTCTTTTCTTTTCTTCGTTTATTTCGTTAAAATGGTGTCGATATGCTGTTGTGTTTTTCATGGACAAATGTTTAAGTTAAATACGCTCCACTCATTCCTTTGATATATTAAGAGTATCGGCTGTCTCCTGCAACTTCACTATACGGTTTTCCAAAACAACCAGACCAGAACGCGAACGTTCAACAATTGTCTATGATGGAGGAGAATTTGACTTGCTTATAGCGTATTTTTTTCCATTAAAAAACCATAGCCCATGCAGTATTAGATAATTAGATTTTCTTCCTATATTCTAACGCCAAAGAGGCAGACAAATTAACTTAGGTATACCTAGGTGTTATTGAGATTCGTCAACACTCTTCAAAACAGTCCTTTTTGAAAAAATCGCTTCAGTAAGTACTTTAGACAATGGTTAGTTACTACTACTTTGTGGTAATTTGTTAATTATTTGTTAATTATAATAAACAATAAATAATTCAATATACGATCGTCTCATATTCTTCAAACAAACAGAAAGCGTAATAGATAATATGGGGACTCATTAAGGTCCTATGAGCGCAAAAATGCTAAACGAGTAGGACGTTTAGCTGAGGGATCAAATAGGTGCATTAAATCCGTGATGTAGTGATAGAAGAAAAAATCATAAGAGAACACAATCTAAATATTGAAGTTCTTCTGCTCAATACTTCACTCATGCATTCACCTTCAAACAACACGAAAACAGCTACTCTTTATGATTGGCTATCTTACAAAAACAAAACATCATAGAGCCAAAGAAAATCAAACTTTTAGACTGCTTGAATAATGATTTTAAGCAATTCTGTAACTATAGCATTAGCAATTGTAGCAGTCACGTTTATCGCATGCAACAGGTTTAATGACAGATACTAGTCGGTATAAGTATTTTAACGAAATAAAAACTATGTATGTTTGAGTTCAACTTTGAAATGGCTTTTTAAAAAATTCTTATGTTTTTTCTTTTTATTTAAAACTAATGCAAACAAACTTAAAAAAATATAAATTAATTAGTAATTTCATATATTGGCATTAGTATTTTGAGAAGTATATAATGCTAAGAGAACGAAGTTTAAACTTAGCAAAAGTAAAAAAAATGAAGAAGAGTTTAGAAAAATGTATAACCTACTTTTACTTCAATAACTTTTTGATGGCGTCTCGGTATTGAATCCACTTTACTTTATCTGTACCCGTTTTCACTTTAACCCATTAAACTTTATAAAAAAACGGGACGTCTTCTTCGCCTTTGCACCTTTGAAAATCTTACAACAAAATGTGTTTTTTGATGAATTGTACTTAAAGGAGTTTTTATCTGTCCATAGAACTCTTCTCCAAAACACTTTTGACTTTTGCAGATGTTCCTTAACGATGGCCAGTCATTTAAGCTTGTTTGTCTTTGATATTACGGCACATCCTTAGCTTTTACTGTCTTAAAACCTCCTTCCTTTAAACGTCGTCGGACAGTGCGCTCACTGATTGGATTCTTGGCCATCAAATTCAATTCATCTGTAGCAGATTGAGGTTTTAGAAAAACATTTTTTTGAATTTCATTAGAAGGTCTCGATCTTCAGTTGGCGTTGTTTAGCGTTAAGCACCTTTTTTAAAATTATTAATTTGATAGTGAACAGTTTGACGCGATACCTTAAACTCTTTTGCTATATCTTTTACTGCCGTTCCAGCGTTAAACTTTGCTACGATTGAAGATCTGACAACCAAACTCAATTCAGTTGTTTTGCCCATGATGTCGAATAATTTATATTTAATTTTTATTTATTTATTTTTTTTTTTTTAATATCAATTAAAGTTAAATATAAAAGTTTTTTTCTCGTTTTTACGTGCTCAAAAGTGAAAAACAATTTACTTAAAGATTTTGTGAAAATACTTATGCCACACAAAAATTCGTTGTCTGCTGGCATTCTTATCAGCAGAAAGAGATAAAAATATATTTTTTGTTTTCGGCTTTATTTTCTCGCCGTTATTTAACGGTACTAAATAAATCTAGTTCTGTAGTTTAAAAAATGTTTCGTCAAAATACTTATGCCGACTAATGTATACACATGTATGTATGTATATGAAATAAATGATTTTTAATTATCTTCTAATTCGAAAAAACAACTTGTTGCAAAAAATTTCAATCGATTTCGAACATAGTTTCTGAACCTAATGAATATGCTGAGATGCTCGATTTTTATTCTAATTTTTTTTTTTTAATACTTATAATTTATTTATTGTATCTTCTCTTACAATGAGACTAACAATAAGTTTTAAAATCTTATCACTAATCACATATTACAATTTTTTATTTTAACTGCACATAGTATAATATAAAATAAAATAAGTAAATCTTATATCACGGACCTCACTTAGATCAATGGGTTAAATTTCATTGGAGTGAAATTAAACTTTATCAGATTACTAAAAAGAAAGATGCGGTTTTTACTTCAAGCTATTGAATATTAATGAATGACTCAGCTGAGTCAGCTCTTTTTAGACGGGAAGTATTGGATAGAAGTGCGAGATTCCTTGCTAAAGGGTTGACATGTTCTATCAGCCTTTTATCGTATATTTTGCTTATATTGTTAAATTCAGCTTTAACTAAGGTAATTTTTAGATCTCGGTGGATGTTTTCATTCCTAATATACCATCGCATACCAGTGATTGTTCTCAGTATTTCTGACTAAGCTCCTTGGATAATTTCAATATTTGAAGCACTAGCATTACCAAATAGTTGCATACCATTATTGCATATTGGTTTTATTAAGTGTTTATATTGGTTTTATGATGCTGCTTTATACTTTGGCCACAGGGACGATCTGTTATTAATGAGCCAATGCAACTAAGAGGCTTTGAGTTTTTTGATTTATATGTGTTTATATCTATATACGTTATATTAACTGCTTGTGGTACGGGAATGTTAGTGAAATTGTCAAAGATATACTTCAATTTAAAGTAAAATGACGTGTCTAGATTTTAGTTCATTAATTTTAATTCGCCATTTTGACAACCATTTCTCCACCCAAAATAAGTGAGATTGAAGTTGGTTTGAAACTAACTCAACAGTTTTGTTTTAGCATTATGTTAATTGGTAAAAAAAATGATGGTAAAAAAATGGTGGTAAAAAAAATTTAAATAACGTAGCAGCAAATGTTGAGAACTCTAAATAGGCTATGTCAAAAAATAAATTTTGAAGTAAACAAAAATTTTACTTCTTTCCTTTACTATTGACTTAAAAAACACCCTTTTGCCATATTAAAAAAATATTTTCTGTAAAATCAAATACAAAATTTGTTTTATTTATACCGGGGCGACAAGTAAGCAGCAAGTAAGAATAGCATAAATTTGTAGTCGGTGACGCATAACACAGATGTTTCTGCTTTAACTGTTATTATTGCAACTATGTATATTAATAATATATTTGTGCATGTAAGTATAGATGTATTGTAAATTTTAAAATTCGAAAAAAATTTTCAAGAACAAAGCATATTTGATTGCCAAATTTTGAGTCACAACTTGATAACTTCGTTTCTTTCTTTATTTGACTCTGAAACCATTTTCAATATCTGTATTTATAATTAGATTAGTAGTTAGATTTTGTAAATAAAAGGTTAATGTTTTTATGTTTAAAAATTATTTAACGATATATTACAACATAATTAATTAATTGTATTATAACTTACTTGTTGTGTTGGTGGAATTGGTTTGAACAAATGCACTCCTCCACATTTTTTTCGAGTACTTTGAGGGGTTTTATTTGTATCTCTGGAAGATAAAGATGAAATTAGAGAAGCTGATGATAAAGTAGATTCAATTTCATTTTTTTGTTTTTTCGATTTTAGCATAGTTGGGTCAACTTCGTGTGGCTAATTGAAAATAAAATAAAATATCACATCAATTATTTATATAAATTGTAGAAATTGTTTTAAACATACCGCATAAGTTTTCGAAATTTTTAGTTTTTCTGTAAATTTTTTAAACGCATAATTTTTGGTACATATTGGGTAATTTACTTTTGCTTTGGAAAAGAAACGTGCAGTTTTATCCACACGCAATTCACAAATATAGCAATGATCTTCCGATACGCACTCCATTGGGCGTCCTTTGCAAAAAGTTGTACGATCAAGTACCCAACAACGACCAATAACCAACTCAATTGGCACTACTTCATATAATGGCACACGTACAACTTCATTTGGATAGAAACGCCTTGATGGTTCATGAAAAGTTTCATGTGGTCGCAAAAAATGATGTCCAAAGATAAATCGTTTACCCACTTCATTTTTCCATAAGCGTTCCACACGAAATATATCACACTCATTATAATCGATATTGCCAATTGTTTCGTAAGTATGTTTCTTTTTCGGCACTATGTTACCATCAGCATCCTTAATTGGAATATCACGCAAAACATAGACTGCATCACCTTGTCGCACTTGCAATGCACCACGCATCAGTGAAAGATAATAACGATGACCATCCTCTGTGAAATCTTCTAATGGTATTTCACGGTTGACTTCACGTGGTTCACATTTTTCACACATGTAATGATCGGCATTGATATCTGCTTTTGTGCATTCGGTATGTTGCCAAACCATGCAACGAGCACATTGTATCATTAAACCTTCATCTTTATAAAGGCCACATATACATCTTATGATATCTTCATTATTTGTTGATGTTTCTTTGTCGCTTGCAGTGCTGAGTAATGTTAAATTTGTTTCATCTGTAATTTTCATGTCGATAGAACTTTCAATTTCGTCTTTCGTCTCAAAGTTACTTGGGCGAAAATTTTTAAGTTCATTTTCAACAAAGTTTAACTCTAATAAATGTTTATAGTGCTCCTGTTTTATGTTTTCATATTCGGATATTAGTGTGTTCAATGCATTCAACTTTGTATCGTCTTTGTGAAAAAGTTTTTTTGAGTTCTCAAATAATTTCTGCATATCATTATCAAATTCTGAAGGTTCCTTATAGAAACCTTGCTCTATGTTGCATTGTACCTTTTTCAATGAAATAGCCTCTTGTTTCAGTGAGTTTTTTGCTGCTTTTTTCTTTTTACCACTAATTCCTGTGATGCTAGTTGTAAGTAGTTGTATTAACATTGTTGTTTCACTTTGCGGATCTGGTATATTTTCCAAACCAGCACAAATGTCACGTAATATTACGGCCATTTTAGCCATTTTTTCTAGTTCAGGGTCTTGAACCGCAACACTCAAACCACGAGTTTTTATATTACGATTGGAGCATAAAGCAGAAATTTGTGCGGCCAATGAAGGTGGCGTTGAAGGTCTACGATTGCTAACATCTACAGAACTCGTACTAGAAGTAGGTAAAGCTATATTTGCGCTGGTCTTCATATCATTCAGATTTTGTTTTGCTCTGCAACGTCGAATCTAAATATTTTTATTTAATATTAATATTTTTTGTAGATAATAAAATTAAAATTTATGCAAACCTTCTCATAATTTCTTATTAAAAATATTTTGTATTGCATGACCATCTTCTTTTCTTTTTCTGATAAATGTTGTGTGCGAGTTAAAACAATGTCCTTTGAATGCAAGCGTTGAGCATTTTTTCGTGCCTTTCTTTTACGTTGCCGACATTTTTGACCGTCCTTTACAGAATTAGGCTCGATTGGCTACAAAAAAAATGTATATATAAAATATCACAATAAAAAAGATTACTTAATAACATTGTTGTTTTTATCGTAACTTACTTTTGCTTCTATTGGTAAAGGTTTTATACGTTGTGATTTTCCTCCAATAACGCCCCGGCATTGTGGAGTGTTGCAACGACATGGTTGACCCTCAGAAGGATTAAATAATGCAAAGTTGTAATCATATGTGAGTTCCTCGCCTTCTTCGACATCTCGTTTTGCAAACAGTGCCATACGCGAAAGTCCATTCACAGACCATTTTTGCATTTCACAATTCGGTAAACATGAATGATTCACAAAACGCCCATCACTTCCCATTCGATGTCCATCTATTACCAGACCACCATCTAAATGCAAGCAGTAATGATGATTATCGTTTAAGTAAATCGTACCCATACGGTCTTTGAATTCCCGCTCCGTTACAACTTCACCAACATATTCTAATATGTAGGTACCTTTTTGTATAGGTAACTTTGTGCGTACACCCCAGCCTTTATTATCAGTCATAAAACGTTCCACACCAGGTGCAACTTCATGACGTTGAATTCTTTGATTGTGACATTTTTCACGTGTAGGACAACTTGATGGGGAACATTCTGTGTAAACCAAACGATTCAGACAATTGTCACCGCAGCCAATATCATGTTTACAGTTGCAAGTAGGATGGTCGAAACCTGCTAGATTAGGACGCACAGAATCAGCGTATATATTAACACGTATTTTTCTATAGTTCCAAGATGGTACAGTATTTCTTATAGGTAGTTTGGAATTTTTGTATGCCCACCAAACATCGAACGGAAGTTCAAAGTCTCTTTGTAAACGTCGTAGGTATTTTTCACAATATGGTGGTGGAGGAAGCAAAGAAGTTGGTTTGGCAATGATGTTACTATCAAGAAGTTGAGAATCATTCGCAGACTTTTCATAGTTTTTCTTTAAAGCTTCAGTTACTTCTTTTTTAAAGAAATCTGAGAAGAGCCCAGCTGGCAAATAATTCTTTCTTATACGTATGAACTTTCGGGAGTTATTTGTAACAGAAGTTGATTTCTCTTCACTGGTGTCGCTAGTACCTTCCAAATTCAAATAATTACAATCGATCATCGGAAGTACATCATGTTCAATTTCTAGACTTAAGATATCTTTTGCAGCTGCTTCAGCTGTGATTTCCTCGTCAGAACGTACAACTTCACTAACAGTATTCGATTTTTTTGGTTTGGAGAAAATACGACTATCTCCAGGTCGTTTTATACGAACTTTACAGTTCTTCACTTTGGGATCTATTCCCGTTTGCGTTATAATATTCGGTTTACTATTTTTTAAGCTTATAGGCATTTTATTTTGAAGCTTTTCTATTTTAGGAACAACCTTTAAACCTTTGAGTAATTTCTGCTCTTCTACTAACGGATTCACTTTTTTATTCGATATATCATTTGTAAGTGTGTTATTTTTAGGCTTACGTCCCCGACCATCTTTGGACACATTTTTGTTTTCCTTTAGTACTGCTATAGTTTCAAATGGCTCCTGATTTTTATTCAATTTCTTCTTCTTTTTTATGTTAGTGCTTACAATGTCTTCTTTAACCTCTTGTTTAACATTACCAGATAGTTTTTTCTTTTTATCTTTATTTAACGTAGAAACGCTACCAGTAGAAACATTTAGAGAAGTATTTGCCATGGGATTACTCTGTAAACGTTCCAAAGCGACCACAGAAAGCCGTGGTGTACGATTAGCACGTTCCAGAAATGTGTTACTATCTTCGCCGACCTGCGGCACTCGATCACATGTTGCATCAGTTGTAGATGATTTTGTTTGTAGTAGAGTGCCAGTTATAGGTTTTGGTGTATCTTCAATACAACTTTGTACTTCTTCACTTACATCAGGCGTTACATCCAATAATAAATTTTCGTTAATTTTCCTTTTTTTACGTCGAACAGTAGGAAAACCAGTACGATTAATTTTTTTACGTTTTCGTTTATATAGAAGATTTGCTCCTGTTTTATTGAGTAGGCTCTCTACAACACGGTTCGGTTCCGTAGATGTTATGGATGGAAATACTTTATTTAGTTCTAACATCAACGGCGAATCAACTTCAGACTTTGTTATAAATCCAGCAGCAACTTCATTCAGTTTTACAATTGGTGGTATCTGTATTTCTAACTCCACAGAAGGTTCAAAAATGCCAGGTGGGGGACATGATGCTTCCGAGTCTAACTGTGCAGCTGTGATTGCGCTTTTGCTAGTATTTCTAACAGATTCCTTGGAGTGCTCATCAGTATGATTAGCTATTTTTGAAACTAAACCCTCAAGGCGAGTACGTTTTTTGTGTACCGCTTCTGTAGATTGTCTTAAACTGCTTAAAGAATGAGGGCTAATATCCAATAGTTTACCACCACTTATAGATGAATTTTCCACAACAATTCGAAGTGGCGACGACAAGCTTTTACCGCTTGTCGTTTCATCTAAATGATTGCCAGTTTGCAACAAGTGTCTTTTCTTTGGGGTAAGACCTGCTTTACTGGACTTCGTACTATATGCTTGCAAGGATTTTGTTGAACTTGATGATCTTGGCCAAGCTTCAGCTGTACTTGCAAACAATTTAGCCACTGCTGCTTCAGTTGATTTTTCGCCGGGTGTCAACAAATAGTGACGCTTTTTCAATGGTAATTTGTGGTCGTCTGGACTGGAACTACTAGCTTTTTTGTGTCGTCGTTTAGAACTGCCACTTGTTGTTAGGTTACTACAACTTGCTGAAAGCAATGCATACTCATGATTTTCACTCATTTTTCTTTTTTTCATACTTCGTTTATCACGACTTTCACGTTTATTGCCACTGCCAACAGAAGAATAAACATGTAATTTATTTGTATCTAAAAGTAACTTTTCTCTATTGCCTAACATTACGTTATTCTTATCATTTATCTGAATAGAACACATCGCTTGAAAAGTATTAATGATTATATCTATATCAGTTGATAATTTTGAATCAGTAATTACAGATTTATTGGATGAGGAATAACGAAATATTTTATGTTTTCGCCTACGTTTTACTTTGGAAATGCCAGAAATGTAAGAACTGCAATAACTAGCAACTGAAGAGCGTCTTGATTTTATTCTACGCGTTGGATTTGGAAGTAAATCATGCCCGAATTCAGACACCAAAGAATTTTTACGTCTTAGTAGTGATTTTTTTCTAAAACTTATTGGAAGTACATCTTGTGAACCATCTTCATCGTATATATTTTTTTTATTTAAGCTGCCAAACGTAGCTACGCTCGTATTGCCACGACCAAAATATTGCCCTGTTGTTATAAAGCGATTAATTTCACCATATTTTTTCGAAACACTTGTTGTAGGTAAATTTTCTAAATTGGGTTTACACACATATTCATTACTTTCCTCACTACTTTGACCCAGAGAGAGTCCAGCCAATTGTAATATGTCTTGTACATCAGTTAAATTACCTACAGATTTCGAATGTGTTTTCATTAGAGAACAGCGGCGTTTTCGTCGAATTTTATTTGATTTCACAATTGTGCTGCTTTCTTTAAAATCACTACGATAACCACAACTTTTAGCACGACTACGGCGGCTGGCGCAGCTTTTGACGCTATAACGACTTTTGCAACTTGCGTCACTTTTGTACCCCGAATTGTGATGATGATGTGAACGCGGATGAAATGAGCCATAATCTGAAACATAACCGCTTTTCGCTGCTAAGATTTTACTACATATTGTTGTATTGCCACCACCACCATCACTTTTATATCCACTAACGCTGGGTCTACGAAACTTTTTGTTAACGTCAATTTGACGCCAAACTGGATCCAATTGTAGTTCATCTTTGGTCATTTTTGTAGATGTGTTAGACTTTTTATCACCTTGCGAAGATTTTTGTAGCGAAGTAGCTGTTGATTGTCGACGTTTATTGCGTGGTGGTGGATATAATACTCGTTCAGTAGCATACATACGTTTATCTAAATAAGCTATGTCAATTTTGGGTTTCAAAATTGCAGCTGATGTTGTAGCAATTACTTCATTTGATAAACTTTTTATGGGAGAACCCAGCTGTTTTTCATTTAATTCTGTTTTGCGTTGCCTTTTAACTAGATGTTTCGGTGACTCAGCAGAAGACGATGTTGTTAATTTAGGAAGTGGAGACGTACTTTGCGTTGTACTTGTAGATATCACACCTGAATCAGCTGATTCATTTATAGTAGATACAGCCAATGCGGTAGTTGTAGCATCCGTGCTAATAGTGGCTACTTTTTTAGGTCGACCACGACGTTTTTTAACACTGTTTGTTGTGATGTTCGATGACTGCGTAGCTGAAACTAAATTACTTAATTCACTGCAATTTTTTTGCAATGAATGTAATGGTGAAGTAACACGTACTGGTGTTTGTCCCAACATTTGAGTCTTTTCCATAAAATCTTGTAATAACGTTGATTGATATTGTGGCAAATTTCTAGTTTTTGCTCTACGAAAACCTTCTAAGGCATCATCAGCATCGCTTTCAACACGCTTTATGGCAGCACTCACTAAGTCCGGTAAGTCATTATCACTAGACGAAAGACCGATATGATCACTGCCATGCACTGGTGAGGCTTTTGTTGAGAGTAAGTTTATATGTAATGCAGGCGATTTTGCATTTATTGCTGTTAATAATAATCTTGGAGCACGCGGTTGCTGTTTTTTCAAAAGTTCATCATCTGTATCAGAAGAAAATGCTGATTCGTGTTGTAATTTACTTATTAGCTTGTTACCATCGCTCAGTTTAAAAGAGGAAGGCTAGAAATAAAATTATTAAGAATAAATAACATTTTAATTAATTGATATACCTTTTTTCTTTTTATACGAATTTTTTTTGTTGATTTCTCGTTATTAGCCGTTGTAACAGTGGTAGTTGTTGCTTCCGAGCAACCTGATTCTGTAGCATCACTAAATATAGGTGGTGCTGGAATTGTTGTTAATTTGTCTGCTTTAGTTCTTAGACTTGATATATGGTTACTAGTTAGTGTTGTATTTTTTGTGTTAGCACTATTTAAACTTTTATCGCTGGAGTTAGCAATCCCACTTAAATCACCAGCTGCACTTGTTTTGTCAGTTGTGGACGCGTTTGATGCAATATCAACTGCCATTCTAGTAACTTGTGATGACTTTTGTTCTTCCAATTGCATTTGTACTGTTGACTGACGATTTTCTAATTTGTTATGTTGCTCCTGGGCTTTATTACTAATTTTAGCTTTAACATTGTCAATAGTATTATTATTGAACTTATCACCAATATGTGCGGACTTAACTTTAACATGCAACTTTGTTTCTAAGTTACTTGTATTTTTATTTGCTGCTGCTGTTGTTGTTGTTGTTGGCCGTATAGCAGAAATTTTCATACGTAAGCCGTCGACATCCGATCTTTGCACACTAAACTGCGTTGCTGTTTTTGTTCCGCTAGAGGTTTTTGCTTTACCATTTTTTTGGCGTTGTGCAGTAATTTCAGACATGGAACTTGATTGATCAGTAACGGAATCGGACTCCTAAAATAAATTTTATATTTAAACTAATAATGAATGTTTTGAATAGTCAATGTTACCTCATTTTCACTAGCAGATTCTTGCGTGTCCAATACTTTTTTGGATTCTTCATTATTCGATTTGTTCATATTTCACTGTTAAGAACACTAATATTAAGAAATATATGAGCATTTTTTTTTAATTAATAAAAAAAGTAATAAATTATGTGAAAATTATTTTCAGAAACGTACCTAGAGAAAAACCTAAATGCGCTCTTGTGACAAATAGGTAAAAAAAAACAAAATTATTTTGCATAAATTAAAAATGGTATTTATGTAAATAAATTATAAACGTCGTATAAGTCAGCTTAAATACTTTAATGGAGAAAACTTTTGAAAATATTAAAAAAACATTTCATCATAGCAAATTAGAAGAAAGGTAGACTGCTTAAAAAAAACTTTTTTCTTTATGTTTAACATTTATCTTTCCCACCTTTCTCATTTATTAAAAGAAATTTCAAATAAGCACATCGATTGCTTTATTTCGTGTAAATTTACCAACTTCAGTTTATATGCTTAAAAACCCGAGAATACAAATCCAAAAATTAATTTTTTAAATAAAATTAAAAAATTTGACAGTCTGCAATCAAAAAATGCCAAAAATTACTGAACAATGCTGCACAACAACAATACACGCATTTTAAAGGGTTGGAAAGAAATAAGTTGTTGCGTACAAAATGTCGTTATTGTAAGCGTAAGCACTTCGGCCTTCGCTGGACGTCCACACAATATTTTAATAAAGCGCGAAGACATTAAAACCTATAAGGAATGGTCACTCAAGCGTAAATGCTTCGCAGCTGTATAAGGAAAATTTGCATTTTTTCGTGTAAGAATTAAATTAGTCAAATGCGTTCGAATTTTACAATTAAACTTCTTGACTTTGATATTAGGCAGGTTTTAAAGTTTCTCCATAAATTAATTGGGTCACAAAATTTGTTATGCCTTGAATTACTTTTGCACTCAAGGCATGCAGGTTCAAGTTGATATTGAGCATTGAATGCGTAACTTAAATTTACTTTAAAACTTACGTTTTCGCTAATTATGTTCATTCGAATATTTTATTTTACTAAAATACTTAAGATTTTAAAAACTAAATTTTTAAGTGCATTATCTGTTTTTTTCACTTTTATATAAAATTTACATTCTAAAATGGCGCCGTTTTTACTTTACAAATTTCACTTTTCCATTATTGATATTTTTGTCTCAAATGCAAAATTTTCAATTTGAAATATTTCTACTTTTATATTTGTTATTTTGTTTATTTTTTATATTCATTAGAATTAGTATTTTATTATTATTTAACCAATTTGGGACAATTTAATTTTACTATTAATAAAGTCGTCTATGAAACACAGAAAAGAAAACATTGACCGTTGGTAGGTAAATTGGCGTGTGAAGAGAGCAAAGAAATATTTAAAAGAAAATGAGAGCAGCAGAAAGCAACTGCCAAAAACAATTTAAGGCAGATCACACACATAAAATTGCCGACATATGTTTGTTTTAACTGTGCTAAAGCAGAGTTGACGGTCAAATTGCTAACTTCTGTGGCCCATACTAATATATTTATATATATATTGATCATCGCGAAATTCATTATTTAAGTATCATGAACAATTATTAATATTATATATTTTTTAAAAATATGTTAAATTAATTGTTTGATTATTAATTATTTTAATTGTATATAAATTTATTGTTTAAAAAACATAAAATATCAATAGCCGTGGTTCAGCAAACAATGATCTGGATGTTCGTTGCTGAAACGATACGGATCACATGTGAAAGTAATTGGCAATTCATCGTACATGTCACCTGTGTTTGTTCACAAAATTTTGGTTTGATTTGTGTGAATAATTTACGTTAAAAAAAAAGGAAAAAATTTTAAAAACAAAAATAAAAAATCTAAAATATATATTAAAAAAATATAATATCTTCTGAAATATTTGAATTATTAAATATAATACTACGTTTACATTAGGTCTGTTCCACGAGCTACTCGTAGTAACTTTGAGTAACACTGTGTATACACAAGTGCGTTCTACCAGCAAATTTTCGAGTTAGAATGAGAATATCTGGGAGAGCGTAACATCCCTGTCGAAATTTAAAAATGTTACACAGACTATACTCTTACATTTTAATCAAGTAAAATTTTGGTGATGTGTGAATCAGCTGTTTTGATTTGAATTTAAATTTTTGTATTGTTCATTTCCGCGACATTGGTGTTCTCACCAGATTTTACACAAGGCTGTTCCATAAAAATCTGTGTAAAGATTGTAATTTGGCACTTTATTTGTGTTTCGCTCTCAGTTTGTAGTTTACTTGTGTTCTACTTGAGTTTTACAACGAAAAGCTCGTGGAATAGACCTACTATATTCAGATAGACCTTAATTTCAGAAAAATTGTAATTTTATATTCGTTCCAGCAAAATGAAGTTGTTTTTTTCCATACAAAATTCAGTTTTAAGGTTAGAACAAAATTAAAGAAAATGGCGTTAATTTCGTTGAAACGAAATCTGAAATTAAGGAATATTTCAAATGGAACTATGCGTTAGATAAATTCTTAGCAAGTTGAAATAACAAAAAAGTGACATTTTTTTTAAATAAATGTCACAATTGACTTTTATAAAATCGGGAAAATATTTTGAAAGTAGTGTAAATTTAAAAATTTGAATATAGAGAAAGAACTGCAATTGTTATTAATAGAGTAACAATAAATTTCACATACTTGAAATTCACTTTAGCTAATAAAACGCCTGAATGTCATCCTTTATAGTTATAATAAGCAACTTTCAAAATTTCTCAGATACAAATGGTCTCTGTAGCATGTAATTTTTAACATTCGATTTGTGAACAAAAAACATATGCTCTCCTTAATTTGGGGCACTATAAACATTTCCGAAATTAATATAATTTAATTTTTACGAAATAACTCCATGTTTTCACTTGTTTTGTTCATATTTTTTTACTGCACCGTATCTTTAACCATACGAAATTGACGAATTTCGACTTTTGCCTCTTTTGAATAGGGTATGCGATATGTTAACATACAGTCAATAATATATATAGATTGTATTTATTGTTCAAAATAGTATAGCGTGATAATACGTTTGTTTGCAGTTTAGCTATTATTTGTTTAGATTTTATATATAAAACATATGACAAATATTTAAAATTTTGGTCGTTTCTTTTGTGAGAAATTTATGTTTAAGGGTTGCATTTTACATTTTTGGTCCAATTTTCGTTACATTATTTTTAAGTAAGTGAAAAAGCACGGAATCTTTTCATATGGTTAAGGTAATTTACTTAATAAATTAAACTTACTAAGTAAGCAGTGGAAATATACTAGAAAATATTGTCATACTTTTTAAAAACATTTTCCTGCAACCCTAAGCATTTGTGTTTATATCTCCTTTAATACTATATTTGCATGCCTTTTTAAATCGGTTTCTCGCAACCCTGTATTGTTGTTTTCTTTGCAGAGCAGAGACATTTGTGTTTACATCTTAATAATTATTATATATTCGTTATTATATATTATTGTATATTTTGTATATTTTAAAATTCATAAGTACTTTGAAAAATTTATGAAATGAGTGGAACAGTTGGTGATATGCTTTACGGCACCACAATTTCATCTGAGTCTATTAAAGTCATAGCCGAAAGCATCGGCGTAGGATCAATGCCGGATGATGCGGCAAAAGAATTGGCTGAAGATGTTTCAGTAAAACTTAAACGCATTATACAAGATGCTGCTAAATTTACACGACATTCAAAACGTGAAAGATTGATGATGACTGACATTGATTATTCTTTAAAAGTACGAAATATTGAACCACAATACGGTTTCATAAACAATGATTTTATTCCATTCCGGTTTGCGTCTGGTGGAGGACGAGAGTTACATTTTATTGAGGAAAAAGAAGTTGATCTAAATGATATAATACAACCGAATTCAATTAAGGTACCGTTAGATATATCGTTACGTTCTCATTGGTTGGTTGTGGATGGTATACAGCCTACAGTACCCGAAAATCCGCCACCTCAATCAAAGGACTCTCAAGCGCTAGAATCTGTAAATCCAGTAGTAAAATTAGAACAAGGTATTACAAAAGACACAGCTGGAAAGCCTGCAACAGGTAAAATACATAAGCTGCGCAACGTAGAAACTGTGCACGTGAAACAGTTAGCTACACATGAGTTATCTGTAGAACAACAGCTCTACTATAAAGAAATCACGGAAGCTTGTGTTGGTTCTGATGAACCGCGCCGTGGAGAAGCACTGCAGTCATTGGCTTCAGATCCTGGACTACATGAAATGTTGCCACGTATGTGTACATTCATTGCAGAAGGCGTAAAAGTTAATGTCGTACAAAATAATTTAGCACTGCTCATATATTTGATGCGTATGGTTAAAGCATTATTAGATAATACTTCTCTATACCTAGAAAAATATGTAAGTTCAAATAATATATGAAATATGATATAAAATTTATTTTTATTACAATCATTTCTAGCTGCATGAACTAATTCCTTCAGTTACTACCTGCATTGTTTCAAAACAGCTCTGTATGAGGCCAGAATTAGATAATCATTGGGCCTTACGCGACTTTGCTTCACGTTTGATGTCACAAATTTGTCGCACATTTAATACTTCAACTAATAATTTGCAGACCCGTGTAACAAGGTATTGCATTTTTAAATATGGTTTTACTTTTTGTAATTAATACATAATATTTTTATAGAATTTTTAGCAAAGCCTTACAAAATGATAAAACTCATTTATCTTCATTATATGGTTCCATTGCTGGTCTCTCTGAACTTGGGGGTGAAGTTATAAAAGTTTTCATAATACCACGCCTAAAGTTTATATCTGAACGCATTGAAGGTCACTTATTAGGTACATCACAGAGTAATACTGATAAAACTGCTGCGGGACATATACGTGCGATGTTACAAAAATGTTGTCCGCCTATACTGAAACAAATACGCAATCCACCAGATTATTCGGATGAATATAAGTAATGTAAAAAATAAATGTAAAATATTAAGATAATCTACAAAGTTCTATTTTACAGGAATGATTATGGTTTTTTGGGTCCTTCTTTATGTCAAGCTGTTACCAAAGCAAGATTTGCACCAACGACTTCATTGATCACGCCAGTATCTATTAACATATCAAGCGCACCAATTACGTCTGCAGCTCAAAATGCCACTGTTGGCCGTCCGCAAGTTGCATCGATATCAGTGCCACGTCAAAGGTATAAACAATATTTCTTAACTTTAAATTATTTTGTTTTTATATTGAATTTATATTATTTGTGTTAGCAGTCCTGTTATAACAAACATACCACAACTTCGCGCTATACAGCAAAACCAGACGCCCCAAAAATTTGTAATTGTCACACAACAAAATCAACCACAACAGCAACAATCACAGCAGTCTTATCAACGACCCAATACGCCACAATCGGTTTTGTTAGCAACGCAAATGAATAGCAATGGAAATCATGGTAACAATGTGGTTATAGGCGGAGGGATTGCAGTCAATAACATTTTAAGCAATAGTGATAGAGTAATTATTATAAATACTTTAGTTTAATCAGTCTATTTTTTATTATATATCGTACTATTTTTACAGGGCTCCGTTGATCCTAATACAATTATAATAGAAGAAGATGTACGTATGTCTTCAGATCTTGATGATTTATCACATTTGGAATGACAGGATAATTACATGATTTTTAAAATGTAAAACAGAAATAATGGTCTTCAATGTATAATTCTAAAACTATATAAGAATGTGTAATATATTTAAATTTTATATAAAATAGTTTAAATATAGAGTAAAGTATTAGTAACTCACTAAATTTAACTTGTTTTTGTTGTATCTATACCTACCATAATAAATAACTGTAATTGAAATATCTACCGAACAAATTGTGCAAGCATAATATTCCAAAACAATACCAAAAATGTGAATGGAAAATTATTAGGTAGTTTAAAAGAACCGTAACAGAAAAAAATAAAGCTGTAAAAAAGTTATTGATAAGATCTCTAAACAGTCTACATAGCCCATTTATTTTTAGGGTTAATGAAAACAATATTTTTATAAAAATAAATCTTGTAAAATCTGCTCACATGTAAAGATATAAAGATAATAAAGACTATTGGATATTGTTGTTTACAGAGAAAAGTTCTGGGGTTTCTGTCTAAAAATTTCGGAGGATATTACACTAGACAAAGTGTTTTTTTTTAATAATTTATGAATAAGTTTCTATAAAGTACATTGTACACTTAATATGGTCTTCTAAACAGATGTAATGTAAATAATTTTTTTATGAACATAAAATATAATTAAACTATTGAACACAAATTAATAAATTAATAAGTTTTTTATTTAAAATTTTTTTTTTTAATTTTATGTGTTAAATAAACGACCTAAGACCGGTAATAATCAAAAAACTTATTGTAAATTGGTCTGCTATTCGGTTATCCAAATAAAGTATTTGTTAAAAATAAAATAATATTAAGACAAAATTTAAAATTGTTGTATTCACAGGTCACAGGAAATTTTACAGTTTTAACATTTATTAAATTGTTTAGCCAGGATTTAGCAAAATGGAATAATTTTTATGAAATCAGCAGCAAGAATTGTAATAGGTCAATTAATGTCAAGATGTGACCATGTGCTAAACAGTTACATATCACGCATAAATACGTCCACATTCAATGTGTGCTCTACTTATTACGTCACCTATTTCTTTTTTTCACTCAAATGTATGTTCATCCTTGCTCTTTACAACCTCCATATTACTGTTCCGATCCTATCTCATTGTGCATTATCTTGTCAACTTTTTATGTGCTTGCTTTCAGGTCGACATTTGGTTAGAATAACATTGATATCAAATTAATTTCTGGGGAAAAAGTTGTGAATTATTACAAATCCAAATATTATTATATTTTCCTGGATTTTTAATTTTTAATGTTTAAAAAAATTAAAAATAATTTACTAAACAAATAGTAACGACCATTCCTTGCAAGGAAGATGATATCTAATGAAACGATATAAACTTTTTTACTTCAATCATATATGCAGCCTGTGTTCGGTTAAGCTCATACGTATATACATATATGTTTACATTGAAATAAAATATATGGTCCTAGGGAATAGTAACAAAAAATTGCAAAATATAGAAGTAGCATCTAACGGACAGCATCAGTGGTCTAGACTTGGATTCAGTAAATTATTTGTTGGCGGTCTTAGCTGACAAATCTCTTTCGATAAATTTAAGGAGTATTTCATGTTTGCTGCGAAATATTCATCCATTTCAACACCTGCTGTCGTTGAGGTAAGTGTGATATAGTTTTCAAAACATTTAAAATTCCTATTTATTATTATTATTAAACAATAGGCTATGAATGACTTGAAAGATCTACTGTGCGCCTGAAGGTCTAACTAAAACAACTCTAGGCAATCTAATCAAGTCTACGTCTTGCAGCCGCTGGTCAGTTGCATAGAAAATGTTGTTATGTTAACTTTTCCTCATGATAGAGTCGACAGGAATCACTTGCTACCACCTAAAATTCCTATTTATATAGAGGAATTTTCTTCGTAGTTATTTATTATATTGATTATGCTCTCATAATCATGGTTGAAAATGATATCTCTTTAATAAATCATAATAAATAGGTTTTGTATGATACGTTATACTTTTATTATTTTCTTTATATAGTTATGACTGTTTTCGCTTTTATACAGTGCCTGAGGATTGATACATTAGTAACCACCAATGTACAATTTTTCAGCAATGCATTATTCATTATCAGCGAGTTTTGTTTTTAAGGATAAGGTAATAGAGACATATTATTTGAACCTCTTTTTAAATAATATCATTATTACCAATATACCAATGTATTGTGTTACAATAGGATTTTTGTTTTCTATTACAATATTTTTCTATTTCTTTTATATTCAAATAGTCCTGCATAGAAATTTATTACAGATACAATTCTGTCAACATACTTACTAATGCGCAATGATGGCCTCTATGCCTCCGGCATGGCTTCCAAATAAGCTTAATATGTCTCAAATGTTCTACTGTTAAGACTAGGTACTGGAATATTTATACCTAAATATTCCTTCGACATTTTAATTTTTTCAGTTAATTCCAATAGGATTATTTTAAAAATTTTCTATATTAAGTTTGTTTATATTGTGCTGGTGTTATTATATCTGGTTCTGGTCAAAATTTATATATTTAAAACCGATTTGCAAGTTTTTATTTTGTTTGATTTGCCGTGGTGTTCTATTTTCTAAATGAACTGCCTGTTGTGCTGGCATTTCATTAGTTTTGTTTGTTATACACCAAATTCTCTATTTCTCAATATCCATTACGTTGTTCCATTAGTGTTTCTTCATTTTTTGCCTTATACATCACCTTGTGACCATCACAAAAAACAATTATAATGAAGATAATTCAACTTCAATTATGTTAAAAATTGAGTTAAAAAATTCAATACAAATACAACAGATCATTGCTTGTCCGAAAATCCGGTAATCCCCTGTTATCTCCTGTTATCTGATCCCCTGTTATCTGATCCCTTGTATCTGATCCCCTGTTATCTGAATAATATTTTACGCTTCCTTACAGGTAAGGCTTAGAAACCGAAATTGTTGCATTCCACTTCAATTAAAAGAAATATATATTATAAATATATAAATATAAATATATTGGTTCGGTTCCGGTTCTTGTTCCCATAAAAATATCGGTTATTTTTGTTTTTCGATTTAGTTTTTTAATTTTCAGTTTAAAGCTTAAACTAAACTGAACGATGTTAATTAATGTTAATTAAATTGAACAGACATATTCTTTCTAGTCTGGTTTCGGTTCGTTATTTTTTGGAGATTTTACAGATCAGTTTCTGTTTAAAACGCTGATTGCTTTGCAAGCTCTGCAAGTACTTGAACTTAACACTGACTGCTTGAGTGAGTATACTTCGTGTAATTCATATCTATTTTATTTAGTAGGATAATACATATATATATATATATATATGCGACTTGTTTTTTTTAGTTTATGCCATAAGTACTTTAATCTATGATGTTAAGGAATTTTTCTTGTATCTTGCAGTTTTTTCATTGTTTTAAATGTGATTTATATATTTAAAATTTATAAAATATATATATATATATATTTTTTTTTTATATTTCATTTAAAAAAAAAATAATAAAATTATAATAATTTAATTTGTTTGATTTGTAGTATTAAATTATTTATACGTATTTTTTAAATTTTTTATAAACTAGTTATAAACTAATAACTAGTTGATATATGTTGTCCTAGTTCTACTTATTTAATTTCTACTTAGTTTAATGAATTGAAATTCAATTGAATATTTTATTTTCTATGTTTAATTACAACTTCATTCATTAAAAAATTTTTATTCAAACAGTGGTTAAGAACGCATGTGCCATGAAAGATACTTCAAAAATATGAAACATAAATGAGATACGGGAAAAATATTGATTTTTCCATATCTGAAGTTTCAAACTAAATTGTTAAGTACGAAATTCGGGGTGTGGGTGCTGAATATCGAGGATACTTTTAAGGCGTATGTTAAAATAAGAACAGCAGTTTCCTCCTTGCAAGAAAAATTTATTTATAAGTTATTTGTATACATAAATATCTTTCATTTAATATTAAACTAAAGAAAGTATCTCATAATATTGGTTAATAAGTGAACAAAAATAATTAAGAAAAATGCGCGCTCATTTTGCTGGAGATGTTATTTCGCACGAAAGTGTTGATAGAATTGAACAGGATTCACCGTCCTTAGAGGAGCGCATAGAGGAATTCAAACGCGACTCCAAAAAAATGGAAGAGTTGGAAGAGTTTATAAATGATGTACTAACAAAAGCAGAAGCAGAAGCAATTAAGAAACAAAGTTCTAAACATAACATAGGTTCGCAACAGGTAAAAAAATTTTTTTACTAATATTTCAGATATGTTATTTCAATTTATTAATTTTTTTTAATATTTTAGACTAAGGAAAAAACTCGACAGAGTAAGTTTAATAAAAATGCCATTCACAGTAAGTTTGGACATACATTAAGACTGAAAAGTTTTCGGAAATTCTCATTTAAAATTCGCGCGCTGTATATTTTTCGATATTTTAAGTTTATGTAGTTTGGCAGCACTGTCCTTAATTACTATGCCAAAAATGAGCTCGATCTGTCAGACAGTTCGTTTACGGCAGCTGTTGAAACCAGTTCACCTCAGTAGTGCGTTGCGAAATGTCTTCGACGGTCGTACGACCGTCCTGGAAGGCTTTGTACCACTCATAAACTTGAGTTTTCGATAAAACTGATTCCCCATAAGCCTTTTGTAGCATTCGCAACGATTCTGCACACGAAATTTCGTTCGAAACACAAAATTTGATGCAAACTCTTTGTTCAATATTTTTTTCCATTGTTTTTTTCGCAACGCCCTACTGAGGTGAACTGGTTTCAACAGCTGCCGTAAACGAACTGTCTGACAGATCGCGCTCATTTTTGGCATAGTAATTAAGGAAATTGCTGCCAAACTACATAAACTTAAAATATCGAAAAATATACAGCGCGCGAATTTTAAATGAGAATTTCCGAAAACTTTTCGGTCTTAATGTATATGTACATATATGCATATAAAATTATGTGTCCTTGATTTCGTATTTATAAAGTTTAAGGAAATGTAAATCCTCCTGGATTAAAGTCGCGTGTACATTTTGTTACATAAAATACCTTTTCGCATGAATCCTTATAATTTTTTTCTGCACAGAATAAAAGAATCAATTCAAGAATATACAATGTATTATAATACATCAAATTGACCGAATCGAAATTGTACTTACGCACATCCTTGCAAGCGTTAAATGCCTGACGTGCTGTATCCTGCATGGAATCCGGCAATATGATTGAGATTTGTGCTATTGTCTTTTGTATATTTAATTCGCCTTTTTTTGTTAACTGCAATAGATAAACGTCTTAAGAGATATTATGTTTTATTTATCCATAAAGTTTAAAACATAATTTGATTTATATTTACCGTTCCAGCCAATTGAGCTACGCATTTGGTATAACACTACAATATAAATAATATATATTAGCTTAATATTAATTTATTTATAAATATTTGCTATAATAATTTAAATTAACAGTGTTTATTTTTTTCGATTTTGTTCAACATTATACTCACTTTTAAATCCTGATTATTTTCAGTAAACTCACCCGCCCTTAGTTTATTTAGAATTTCTACGGGAATTTTAAATTTT